ATATACATCCTTGAAAACCTATACAACACAACAAAAGTCAAATTAAGATCCGTCTTAAGATCCTTACAATCGGTGTGTTTAGTGACAGAATACGTTGGGTGTTTATCACTTAATTATATTAGGTCATTCTATTTTATATTTAGCCATTTACTTACATATTCAGACACTTTAATTTAGAAATCACGATTACTCCTCCCTATGTGCGTGTGATCACATGCACATCTGAATAAATATGGGCCTTGTTTTTTCTTCGTTGCATGCTTTGTTGATAATAGACTTTAGCCTTTGTTAAAATATAGAGCGATTTGACTGATCTCTGAATGGTAGGGTGATATAAACAAGTTTTTTCTATGTTATATGTAGTAGAGCTCACGACTTTGTAACCTTTTCATAGATTGATGAACTTTAAAGGTCAATCATTTCCCATTATGAAAAATCCATCGTCGCCTTTTGTACAATAATGATGTTTGAAAGCTTATACTTAATTCGGGAAGTGTAAGACTCAAATACATTGACAAATTCTGTCTAAAAGTCAGCGCAGGTAAATGTAGTTACAATACATTTTCCTCTTCGACAGATAAATTAACTTTTAAAATACATTTTCCTTTAAGAGCTATCTACGATTAAATATCAAAAACCGATTTTATTTAAATAGATTTTATCTACAATTTTCAATTGAAAGAGTAGAGAAAATTGGAAAAATTAATTATGGATGGAAATAGTTACCTAATTAATTACGTCTGTTACCCTATATGCAGCATTCCCCATCCAAATCTGCCCACTTCCAACCAATTTTTATTCATTCTTTTCCTGTTTGTCTTCAATTCTCACCGCAGTGCGTCCCATAGTATGCCTCTATTCCTTTGACCACGATGACTCCCAGTGAGAGCTCGGCTTGTGATGTAGTTAAGTGATTTCAGTAATCTGTGGCTTATCCACCTCCAGTTATTTTTCTTAATTGTTACTTAAGTTGGGATCTGCTTTGATCTCTTCCACAGTAGGTTGTTACTGATGATGTCTAGCCATCCAGACTATCTTGCGTAGACAACCGTTGATAAACAACTGCATTTTTTAGATACTGGTTTTGCTACTCGCCAACTTTCAGCTCCACATAATAGAACGCTTATGAGGACCGGATCGAAAATCTTAACTTTGGTGTTGGTTAATAGTTGTTTTCAGTAATAGATGTTGTTCAATTACATAAATACTGCTTTGCCAATCCGTGTCTTTAAATTTGCATCGGATCCATCTTGTATATCAGTGATGCTGGCCAGGAATAAAACTGTTTCCACATCTTCCAAAGCTTCGCTATCAAGTGTTGGTTGATTCTTGTTGTGTTGTATCGGAAGGCCTGGCTTTTTCTCTTGTGAACTTCTGTGGAGACTGCTGCTACACTGACCGTCTTCTACTGCAATCGTACTAGTGTGTGTCAGAGGGGCTAAATCATCTGCGAAGTCCAGATCGTCCAGCTGCATCCGCGCTGTCCACTGTATTCCGTGCTTATCCTGAGATTTTGTGGTTTTCATTATCCAGTCAACCACCAGTGCCATAAAGTTGAAGAAGCATCCATTGGGTCATCTTATCCACGCTGCTGACTGCTTTGTCGTAGTCAAAGAAGTTGAATTAAAGTGATGAGTTTTATTAAATTGAGCATTCAGCACTAGTCAGAAATGTCATAGTTTAGCCTTACTAAATCCCGCCTGCTGATCAAGAAGTTGGGAGTCTACGGAGTCCTTCATTTTTTTAAAAAACACTATGCTGAAGACTTCCCCTAGTACTGATAGTAGAGTGATACATCTGCAGTTTTAACGCTTTTTTGGTACCTTGATTAGATATTCTTCTTTCCAGTCTGTTGGTACTTGTTCTTCATGCCAGATCTTGATTAACAGAGTGTGAATTATCTTCGTAGTTACTGTTACCTTTGCTTTCAGTGCCTGAGCTGGAATGTTTTCCAGTTCCGCTGCTTTGGCGCTCCTTAATTGACTGATGGTCACGCTGATCTCTTTAACTGATGATGACCCAACTTAGACTGGGTCTGTAGGTATTCAACATCATGTGGGTTCAGTAGGACTAGTCCATTAAATAGTTCTTTAAAGTGTTCTACACACTTCTTTTGCTGTTCTTCGAACTCAGTGATTGCTTTTCCTTCCCTGTTCTTGACTGGTCGATCTGGTTGAAAATATTTTCCAGTAACCTTCTTCTTTGTATCGTATAGTTGCTTCTCTTGCAGCTTTTTCTGCTTTCATCGGTAGATCTTCCACTTATTTAGGTTTGCTAACTTTTATGCCCCTCTTCATTTACTTGTTTTCCCAAGGTATTCAGCCTGTTTATTTTTTTTCTCTACTGCTGTTCGACTGCTAGGGACTAATGCCTTATTATTCTTCCTCCTATTTTGTATCTTATCCAAAGTATCCATAGTGACCCATCTCTTGTGATGCTGCTTCTCATGGCCTAAGACCTCATAACATGCTGACATTATTGCTTCTTTGATCCCTTTTCAGTTGTTCTCAGTCATAGTTTGCGCTTAATGATTTTAGGTCCATGAGTTTCTGATCCTATGAGTGCTTTTCGTGCTTCTTTGGACAGTATCAGTGTAACTCCTCCTGTGTGAGAAGCATTTCCTTCCTCATAAATAGAAATAAGACAGCATCTCTCCTGAAGCTAAACTTTTTGTCAAGCCTATTTTCACTGGGTTTCCAAGCATCACTAGGTTGTGTTTTTTCATTTACGCAGCAGCTTGAACAGTTTTTTACTGTCTCCCACATTTTGCAAGCATTCCATGTATCAGTATTCATCACTGGTTGGATTGTGAGAAAGGGCATCAGCCTTGTGACTTCCAAAGAAACTTGCCTTCCACCATGACGCATGAAAGCCCTTCTATATGAAGATCTTCCAACTCTTAGAGTAGAATTTATATGTTTTAAATTATTTTTTCCGGTCAGTGTCTTATATCACGTCTTATATCATAGATTGAGGCTGCTAACCTCATAGTCAACCCTCCCATTTTATCCGGGTTTGGGAACGACGGTAATCCTAGGAGGGCTTCAGGTTGAGTTATGAATGGAGTTGCTTTTGCAAAATTGAATTTTAGTTAGAATGAACAGTACACCAGGTAATATTGGTAAATATCTTTTTATTAAATTTAGGTAATCACTTTCTTAAGTTGAAAACCAATAAAAACATTGATGAATAACTTACTTCGGTAGTCAGCATTTTCATTTACCAAGGTTTTTATATATTTAAGAATGCCCTCGCATTATCTTAAAAAATATACTGTTAATATTCCTCTCACCTTTCATAGTTATATGTAAGTCGACAGAACAAAAGTTAAATCACATAAACGAAATTCAGATACTCCATTTTAATTTATGCTTTTTATGTACTCCTAAAATTCATTATAATTTTGCTGAACAGTAGTCAGTAGTAGTGTAATAGAAGGATAAAATAAACTCCTACGGCAAAATAACAGTCATGGTTTTTCAGAAACATTTTACAACTACCGACTTAAATTATACAGTCTGATTAACAAAACTTCATTTCTAGTGTCCGAAAGATTTCACTAAAAGTTTAAAAAATATCATTTTAAGTAGGACAGTCTTTAGAGTTGCATAGTTAAACTTTGAATGACAATTTATTCTTAGCCATCAAAGTAACTAATATAGAAATTTACAGAGATTTTGTGATTTGATAGTTTTACAGGAATCATAGTGATCTATGGTAAAATAACTCACTGATTATTATTCTTAATCGTATAAATTACTTCTTCGTTTAATATTTTTTGAAATTAGTTTTCTATTACTGACTAGTTTAATTACAAATGTCAGTTACACAAAGAACACAGGCATAAATGAAATTTGCAAACTTTTCTTGCTCTTGTCATCGGTCTTAAACAAAAGAATAAGAAATGTTGATGATCGGGGTTGAATACGTTCTGTAATCTTGAATTATTTTGACAGTTTGCTTCACGTAAAAGCCAGTTCCTTGATCCATTCACAACATCATTCAACAATCAAGTCTGGTTGCGTGCCTGATGTTTTAAAACGTGATAATAATGAACTTATCGACTTCATCCAAAGAGAACTGAATATTGTGTACGAGACCAAATGAACTGAAATAAAAATGACAAATGAGCTACAGCTTCAAAGAGTAGTTGATCCTCTTTAAAGTAGTTTTCACTAATAGTATGCTTTGTATCAGTATACATGCAGTAATTTTAACGGAAGCATGGTTCTGCTATCTGACGACTTAGTCATTTTTTAAAAGTGGTGTTTTGATATTAAGTACACAATTTGTACTATAACCAGTTATTAAAACGTTGAGTGAGGTTTTCTAAAATTATATTGAGATACCGAATAGTATATACATTTATTGTTCATGTTTTTATCTATGTTTATGTTTTATGTATGTTTTTAATCGATCACACACAATTATTCATTATCATAACTATCAAATGATGTACAGCCATCGATTTAAAATTATTTTTATGAAATTGATTTTATATAGTTTTGTAATCTAAATGAAATCCGATTCTTTTTAACTAAAAATTTTCTGCAACTAAAATGTCTGGTACTGCTGTTTATCTGAACTTAAATTTTCCTCTAAACAATGATCACTAATCATTTAAGAATCAATGCATTTTGAGAGACTTTTTTTAATTGATATCAATGGGTCCAATAACTCTAATCTATTGAGACACCTTTCGAACAAAGAACCATGTATTCAATCTCATGTTCCCTTGCTTTTGTATGCTTGTTGTATTTTCTTGTTGAAAATAACTTGATTATTTACTTGATCATAAAATCTAATTGTCATTCACTTGTTTAAATCATCTTTTTAAAAGACAACCTCTTGAGATAATACATTTTAATAATGAATAATTACAGTTATAGGCATCTGAAAGTTATTTATACGTCAGTCGCAATTCGAATACACTATTCGACTTATCCAATTCGAGAAATAAGTTAGATTTTCAACATTTATTTGTTTATTTCTCTTTTTAGGTTACCAAAGAAATATTCCAGATTGGCCAAGATATTCATTACAAGGTGATGCAGGTCAAGGAGTACATGATTTGTTGATCCAAAATGTTAGTCGTGAAGATGCTGGAGTTTATGAATGTCAAGTTTCACCTGTTATTGGACAAAATCCACTTCGACGTCAAACTCTTTTAGTTATATTAGGTATTTAAATTTGTGAATGTTGAACATTCGGTTTTTTTGACGGCTGTTTCGTTTGAACTTATATTTTAAAATAGTTTGTCGGCAACATTTGTTTAACTAGCTTATGACTTTTTGAAAATGGTTAAGTATGGGAATTCAGAATACGAAGTGTAATGCAGTTTGGAGAGTCTGTTTAAGCCTTTATTGACTAAACACAGAAGATTAAGTATGAGTAATTTGGAAAATGAATCAACGTTAATATACCTTAGTACGACAGTATTCGTGTGCGGATGATATACATTTTCTATATAACTGCAACACATACAAGTAAAATCTTGATTCTCAAGCTTATGTCATGTAACTCAATGGTAAATGCAAAGGAGAAAGTCTATCTACTCAATAAGTATCTTTGAACACTAATCATCTAGTTATCGGCCACTATAAAAGATTTAAATTAGTTCTTCCTGTATGTCAATACATTATTAACCGTAACTAACAACTCTGTGAAGCCACTGAATAAGAAATCATACATCCTAGAACGTGAAATAAACTTCGTTCGCTTTGTTTACCTATATGTAAGTTGTAAAAAATGTATTTTTCAAATAGTAAATATTTTTAAATTTTGTGTTCGAAAGTTTGTGAAACCAAAATTAAAAATTAGTTGAAAGTGAACAGTTCATTGAATACAGGGAAGTTGTATAGGAACATTTTCGTAATTCTTCCTGATTCTTTCCAAAATGCTTCAAATTATTCAAAATTAATATTATTCACTCTTCATGGTCACATAATGATAAAAAATAAATTTTGGTTTAAGTCGTAATCCAGAATGACTTCGAATTGTTTGATCGCTATGAATTTATCTGTTAATGTGCACAAGTGTTTGTAATTAATTCTGTGTGGTTTAAGTACCATGATCTCTTTTATAGACTATTCGAAAACATTAAGGTCTGTAGATATGTAGATGATTTAAACTAAAAGTAAATTGTATTCAGTTATACAACAGTTTTTTTATTTTTTGTGAAGTGAAACCAACAACACCTAATATTGTAACTTCACCGGGTGTACCACAGCCATCAGCAAATGGACAATTGATTGTTGCTTTCGATTCCAACAAAACAAATTCAATGAGCAATAATCTATTAAAGTTAATCTGTCAATCAAAAGGTGGTTATCCAACTCCGAAGTTTGAATGGTTTCACAATGGAAATCTTATTTCAGCATCAGCAGATTTGGATGAGTTGCAGGATAACGATCTAGAAATCAATTCTCACCAGCTAGCTAAAGACCAGTTTGAGCTTGAAATCGATAAAAGAAAACTCTCCACTCAAGATCGTATTGTATGCTTAGTGAGCAATAAAGCAACAATGCGTTCCAAACACTTATATGAACAAAAACTAAGAGCGGAAATAATGATAGTTATCCATTGTGAGTTATGTAAATTTTTATCTTTATTGCATAATATTTATTACACATTTGTTATATTGTTGAGTTGAAATGAAGTATGAATATTTAATTTTACAGTGTATAGTGACGAATTAGATTTAGAAATACGTTAAGCCACGTTATAATACCAGTTAAACAAAATACAAAATACCGAGCAACTTTTTACGTTCAGCTCTCATTGTGAGTACAGATATATATATTTCATCAACAGAAATTTCAGCTTACCTCTTCAATGATTTCCGTTAGCATGAACTTTTTAACCAGTTAAAGAACAGACAATAAACATAGATTGCAGTATTTCATGGTTTGTGTATACTTGTATACCAAAAGGTATTTAGCCAATGCGAATGTATAACATTTTATTTTCATATTTGTTACACTTACTTTCAACCATACTATTCAGCGGTGACTTCAAAAATAAATTATGAAGTTTTGGACAGTTAATCACGAATGACCGTATAAAACTATCTGCTTGCTCTATTCTCAGTGGAAATTTCAGATACCCTTATGTCCAAATGGACAAAACCTGTTGTTTGCCATTCATTTAAGTTGTTTCAACTACATATTACACGTACAACGAAACACAGTATCTGAGGTTATTGGTTTATTTTACAGTGGTACATAAAATCCTCATGTTGACGCTCTTAGGAATTTTCACAGTATGCTGAAGTAATCTTCACAAATCTTTCTCAGTTAAGGCAACAAATGGTATTAATAATAATAATAATAATAATAATAATAATAATAAGGCTGTACATTTAATTTCCTAATAGGAAGTAAAACATATTTATGCACTTGAATCATCAATGATTATTCTTGTACAAATTAAACTGACATAATAAAATTGATTGAATAATCTGTCAAAGTTTGATAGTTGACAGATGACATAAAGATTACATTGTCATCTATCAACTGGACAAATTCTATGAATTTAATGTAAATCATCAAATGTTTTGTTTATCAAACTAAAATGTGAAATTGTTATTCATCTGTTTGGTAAAACGAAATAGAGAGTAATCAGTTGCTGAAAAAGTAGTTAAATAAGTTTCAAAAAATGTCTCTAACATTTTATACATGAAGATAGAAAAATATAACCGCAATGAAAAGTTGAAGGGGCAGTTGGCAGAAAAGAGATAGTGATCGAAGAAACTTCACATTTTGCCTTTATATACATAATTCCAAATTAGACAGTCTGGGACAAATATTTTATAGTAACACTTTTTGTGCATAAACGTTAGACTAGCTTGTTATATAGTAGTGCATTGAAAACACAAAACACTTCTAACTATCCGTGACAAAGAATCATCTACACAAAGACTTATTTCTCTTTTTGTACGCTGAACGAACTTGATTAAAACAGTTTGAAATTCCTCAATATTCCATTTTAAAACTGCAAATCATCTTCAATCTTGAAACATTACTATTTTTTTTCGTTTTCCGCTTACAATTTAAACAGTTAAATATGACCAATAAAAAAACTATCATACAAAACAGGAGAGAGAGCTTGTTTCCTCAGTGAAATAGGCTTCTTCCATGATTAAACAAAGGGTGAACATGTATCATGTGGTGCATGAATTATGATTTTTCGCTTGACTAAATAATAATTTCTTTTGAGAATTCAACCAATGTCCTTTTTTCCTTGTTATATTATAATTGTTACCATGACGCTCTTCATAACTTGCTTTTCAATAAATAAATAAATGATTAACAACTACGAATAAAATGGTGCTAAATATTGAAGCTGCTGTCAATCTGAACGAAAAGTACTTGTTTAAAACAACAATTAAATTTTGCGTATATTCGCTGCTCAAAAAAATTTGACAGTACATATAACAGTTGTAAAATACAATGTGTGAGATAAACCAAAGAGTTGAAATAGGATCACTACAATCCGTTGAGATTTAATTTTATGTTTTAATGTTCGTGGAGTTTAGTTGCTTGTATACTCATCAATTAATAAGCATTAACTACATAGTTCATACTTAATAATAATCATAATCCCTTTAATCAAAACTGAGTTCCAGGATAAAATAAGGTTATTTTCGCTTAACGTACAAAGCATGTTGACAAAATCCATTGCATTATAAATATTCCACAGTTCAAGATTTCCAAAAGCATGAAGAAAGTTTAACAGTAGTAAATTTCATTTGTCTATTTTTGACTTCCAATATTTTTCGGACAGTTTAGTTCTTACACTACTTTAAATTGGAAAATTTATTTTGTGCAACACTACAGTTCCGTTTTAAATAAACCAGTTTTTGTGCGGTTACATTTTGCTTCATAAGCTGAATAGGTATAATGGTGTAATAACCAATCCAATCTCTGCTTGAGTAATTCAGTATTTGCTATCGTAGTTTGTTGCTGGCTTTACAGAAATGTGATCAAACGAATTATTTAGGTAATAAGCAATGTGTCGTTCAAAACGAAATCACTATTTTCACTGTTATTGATGCCAACGATAAATATCCAGCAAGAAAATTTAAAAATTGTTGATAATGTTTACTTGGTGGGTGTATAGTTATTTTGTGAAGGTTTTTATTTTCAAATATTTATTATGTACATCATCTTTAACTTTCAAATAACCGTATGTAGAGACATACAGAACCAAGTGAGAGTAATTTGAAATTGTAAAACTTTCACTACTTAAATTTGGATGTATCATTACTACGGTTAAACTTGGTGGATTGTTCTTCCATCATTACTTAACCCTGTTCTTTGCATTGATCGTTTGACCTTATAATGAAAAAGAACAACTGTTCAATATCATTTTAACTATCACCTTTCTCACTGTATACAGTTTAGCTCACCAGTTTTTACTATTCTTACTTTATATTAGCCTTACCAGGTGATCCGGAAATTATTGACTGGGATAAATTCATGAATGAATCTACAAGTGCAGCTGTTGGTTCAACTATTGAAGCAACCTGTAGAGTGACTCCATCTGGAAATCCACCTGGTCAGGTAGTATGGCGCTTTGAAAATCCATACTCTACCATGGACTTAGATCGGTTATCCATTTTTGCGCATGATCTAATAAAACCATCAATAAAAAATGTAATTTCTATTTCAAATGAAAATGTAATCAATCAAGTTACAGATGAAAAAATCCTGAGTAGACTGAAAATTACAAATCTTAATTCGACAATACATGGCTTATATCTAGTTTGTGCTGTACGGCATCAAGTTGGTCCTGAGAAGACAACAAAAAAACGAATCTTTATGAAACGTAAGCTTTTAATAAAATAATTTCATGAATTTTTTAATTATAAATTCAATATTTATTTATTCATTTCATGCAGAACTTTGTCATTTAATGCCTATGTATATCGTCCTTCATCTCCAGAAAACTCCACTTGTGCAAGTATGTTTGTATTGCTTCAACTATTGCTTATTAAGCTTGATAGTGATAATTTAAATCATTTATAGTTCAAGTATATAAAAACTATACAGCGGGGCAAAAATATGTTTACAATAACTTTGCTTTCAAGCTCTGAAAAGATAAACATATAAATAATGTAGCTTGTAAATTAGAAAATGAAAGTTCACTTAGTGTTCGGTCATTTATTTGCACTTGTTTGCGTTCTGAAATTCAAGCTGACCATAGACTATCTTCTATAGCTCCTTTCTTGGGGAAAGTCATGCACTTCGATCTAGTGAAATTCTACTTTTTGGTTATAACTTCCACATAATCCTCCACTGAATACTACGTATAAACGATCTTATGAGTGGTGTCCAAGGCACCTGGAAAATTGTTCAGTGAATCTATACATACTAAATTATGTAAACGCATAGACATTTCGCTTACCGTTTGCGATTATCCTTATTTTTCGTTTGTTCAACGACTGGACAAACATTACTGTGTTGTTTTCCAACAGAGTAAAACCTCCAGAAACCAAAATGAACTTGTTAAGAGGATTAATTAGAACGGACAGATCAAAATATCTGAACACCAAGCAGTAGAAACAGAGGTGGTTTTTTGAATATTTCTTCGCTTTTGGTGAATTGTGAATGGCATTTCTGGAGTTCTAATGCGAATTCGGAACCAGTAGAGTTCACGGTGTGGGTCAGTTACTTACGAAGTATTTCAGAAGACGGTTAAATAATTTTACGAACTGAATAAAGTTAAACGTGTGAATTTTTGGAGGCAGGTTCAATAGTCTACAGTTGAGCGTTCGTGCGAACCTCTAGATCCTTAATTCGACTTTTAGCTGAGACTTCTCGGCTGGATAATGCTGAGTAGTCTCATACTAAGACGAAATAGCTGTCCATTGCTTCCTGTTTCTCAGCAGCTGATCAACTAAGACCAGTTACTGGTTCTACCTCTAAATCTCAAAATAAATGCATAAACCCTTACAGTAAATAAGAATATGTAAACGAATAAACTTTCAAGTGCTTTTAGGAATTATCATTTAAGAGGTTGAGAGAAACAAGCGTGCAGTCTGTCACATGTAATGAGACAAAAATGTTCCTTTCTACAAGCGATATAATGTATGCGTATGTATATACCTGAGTTTGAGCGAGTTATTATGTGCTAAGATAAAAATCCATCTTCAATATTATACCTAGTTCGAACATGTATTGGCTGGTTTGAGACAAAGGCTACTATAATGATATGAAAATTAACTTCCAACTCCCACAAGTAAACATTACCAAATAAGCTATCTCTTAACTCATGTATTCGTTCACGTGTGTTGTCGCTCTGTAATTGCCTTCACTGGTTGATTATCTGTGCTAAAATGTTAAAAAATCTTTTTGCCGAGTTTCTTACTTTTCAACAGTTATTAAGAAATCAAATGAAGCATAAATGGCGATCAAGAGGAACAGATTATTAAAAAAACTAGTCAGTTCGCAGAATGAAATCCATTATTTCCTATCTGGTGTTACATATTGTTCATAACCCTAGTAACTAATAGATTAACTAACAGAAATCATTGTTTCGTAGTAGATGAATTTTTATTTTAGCTTACAAATAACGAAATTTAGTTGAATATATATTCGTCAATTCAAATAAGCAACCAAAACCAATACAGAGCAATATAGTAATCAGTAAACTAAAATGAAAATTACATACTTTTTTAACGAATCTAGAAACAACATTAAAGACAGTTTGTAAAAACCTACGAAATGGTTTATTTGGCTTATCCATTTTTTAATTTTTTTTATTCTCTACTTTTCTTCTTCGTCTGACAGTTGTCTATTTATTTTTTCACGGTTGTAATTTACGCTGCAGATGTCGAATAAATTAACGATTCATATTTCATGAAACCAAAAACTTTACTTTATGTAGAAGTTTGAATAGAGTTTATTGTGTATTCTTATTCACAAGCAAGATATTACGAAAAAAAGAAATGCAAATCAACGTCTATAGACTTTTATTGAAGATAATCATTAAAACAAATCATAATTCGGTTGCTTCTGCATAAATTAGTGTTTATATGGGTAAATATCAAAATACTTTCGAAATAATCCCACTTTTTATCCTTTTTGAGAACGAACAGATTGACTTCATTTCTCTAGACATTTAAAAGGTTTAAATGACTCAGGTTATTAAACAATATTGATAAGCATGGTGGAAAAAATTATTACGGTAGATTAAAATTGAAATGAAAATCTTATAGATTAAAAATTACAAAGCAATGACTTCAGCAGGTCAGGCAGACCTTCAATGGATAAGTTATATATATATATATATATATATATATATATATATTTACCATTCATCCAGGTTTTCCATGAATGAAGGGATTGTGCTTCACTTTTTGCAAAAAATACGTTTTCAAAAGGTATACCAATGCCCACAAAAATCGATATATATAAAACTAGGTAGAATTACGGAACAAATTGCTGAATAAACAACGGCAGTTTTTTCACCAAATCATATTTATTCTTGATTCCCATAATTATCAATACTACATTTCAGTTTTTGTCTCTTTCAATTTATCTTCAGAATGAAGTTTCACTATAGTTTTTGTGTTCATTTTTGCTAGAAACTTTGCATCATTCGTTGATACTTTAAGCAAGTGAAACTTTTCTTTTTTTCCTCGGAATAATTTTATCCTTTAAGTTGCACACACCGTATTAATCTCATAGGTAGGAGGAGTATATGCTGATAAATATATCTGATTTTAATGAGTTTATTCTTTTTCATTATGAATTCTTTGAAACCATTTTATGTGATATTCAGTTGATTTAGTGTTATTTTGGATGTATATGCAAACTACAGAAGTAACAGATGATTAAAGTCACAAATGAAACAAGTAGACAATGATAAAAACGTAAAATGATTTGAAGGAAATGAACAAATCACTTGCTTTATCATTTATGCACTTTCCATTAGTCAATAAATCTCATGACTTACGGTTGTCTTTTGTTCCTTTGCTCTTAAAAAAAGCTTTTAGTAAGAATAGTTTCAATCATTTATTCAGGCACGTTTTTCTGCATAGTATAAATTTCATTTCCAAGTTCATTTTCTTCTCATAAGCTTCACTAAGTAAATTCTCTCTTCATTTTTTTCACTATTGAACATTTTGTACTTCAGCTTCATTTCCAAAACATTTTTTCTGTTTTTTTCTATTTTTTTCTTTAAATTTTCCTTTGGTACTTTAGTTATTTTTTTCCTTCTTTTTTTGCATTCTTCCATCTAATTTCTGTTTGAATAATTAAAATTGAAACAGTCAGTAGTTAGTGAAACATTCATTAGTCACGCAACAGTAGATAGTTTAACTTTAAAAAAAAAATAAAAAATGAAATATAATAATTTTCAAAAAGAAAAAAAAATAAACACAAACTGTAGAAATGGTAAATGAGAAAGGTGAAACAGTTTCCGATTCGCAATTAACTGACACATTAATATATCATATTCTTCAATTTGATGTCATTATGTAAAGTTTTTCATTCATTTTTTTATAAAAAACAACAAAACATTTATATATATATGTATTTGATAGACATTGTACTTAATATATCTTGAAGAACCATGTATTTGTTTATCCTACTAGTAAATCAACAATAAAATGCTAATGATGGTATAGGACAATATTTATAAAGAAAATAATTGAAGAGTTAAGTCGTCAAATCGCCGCAAAATCTGAATAAAGCTTAACAGTATTAGAAGAAAGAGTAAAACGACGTTACATCCCTGATATATTCATTACATGTTACTTTATTTGAATAGAATGTAAAATTTAGGCTTCTCAATAGCTAATGGGATATAATTTTATTTCACGGAAATAATTTATAAATTTCTGAACCAGGACAGTAATGTAGTTCAGATCACCTAACTACGTAAATTTTAAAATTTTGTGCAGTTTTGGATATCTAGTCCTATATAGTGCACTAATATGCACTTCAAACTTACATCTCTCTCTCTCTCTCTCTCTCTCTCTATATATATATATATATATATATATATATATATATACATATTATATACACATGAGTGGTTTCATTGTCGAATACATAATGTAGTATTTTGTATAGAATGAAGATCATATTCTGTCACTCGAAATTTTCTTTTCAAATATGCAGATAGATCAAGTGTATGATTGGTATTTACGTTCTAATAATCATTTTTTTATATATTCCGATGTTCAAATATATATATATATATATATATATATATATATATATATATATATATATATATATTCATACATATATGCTTTTGTGCGAATAAACAATGAGGCACATTTTATAAAATACATAATACCTAATAAATATGGAAATTATATGTATTCTCAATAGTAGTAATGCAGTATTAACCCAAAATTATATATAGTGAAGTAAAATAAACTTTGATAAGTCATTAATTTGGCAAGAAATAATGGAAAAACGCTAGCATATTTTATATATCTGATAATCTAATTTCAATTTGTCTTACTGACATTGTATACCGTTTGAATTATGCTTCACAGTCTACAACTCGAAACTTCGTAATAGTAAAGCGTAAAAATCTGAATTCAAACACCCCTGTTAATAGCTTTCGAATCCGTTTGTCTGCCTAAAAAAGAGTAACAAAATTTATTACTTTCGAAATGATTTACTTTCTACTATTGATCCACAAATTACCTGTCGAATACATAGAAGAAATTAAATTTCTATGTTTGTTTTGGATCTTGTCAGTAAACATCTAAATCGAAATGCCGTCTTTTTCACAAAAATTGATCATTGAAAAAATTGTTTAATCTCTATTTTCTAATATGTTATGAACCGGTAAACAGTAAACCGTACACTGACGACAGCACAACAAATATCTATGTTTCTTCATATTGTTTAGCCAAAATGATTCATAGATTTTTGTCGAAAAGGCACCATAAAATGTTTCATGAACGATTTAAAAGATACAAAGAACTAGCAGGGACACTTCCTAACTTAAAGCACAGTTCTGTACTAAACATTAGCATTTACAGATTCTAACATTGTTCGAACCTAGGTTTAATACATTTATGTTACTTGACTAAGGCCAATTATGGAGCCTTTATTCCAGTTTGTTTTTTACTTAATTTTGCAAATCTAATTTGATTCAATGAATTGACATTTTTTGAGTACTTTCTTTGATGATAATAATCATAAATTTTGCATGCATAAGTTACAACTAAGAGAAATGCATTTTTCATGAACACATTTTCTGATACATTTTAGGACTAATTAAATGAATAGAATTTACTAGTATGTTTGCGGTAATTTTACGAGTTAGGTCTCCAGCAAAATGTTCGATAACAATAGTGATGCAAATCAATCATACTATTATGCATTGAATTACATTCTATTCATTTGATAAAACAAAATTACAAGAAGTATAACAACATGATGTGTTAAATTTTACTGCAATTTTAAATAAATATAAGAGAATAAGCGTGACACATGTGTTTCAAACCAATAACTGATCCTCATTATACTATTAGCTCTCATTATAAGTTACTAATTCTTAGTAGAATTTATTTTCTAGTAGCTTCCTCACTTCCGTAAAAAACAGTATTGTCCATTTTTGTTAATATTTCTCTATTTTTGACAATATGATAGCAGCATAAACGAAATCTTACATGCTTTAATTTCCAGATGGTCCCGAATATGTGAATATATATGGTCCTTATGAAAGAATGATGGAACTGAAACAAAAAGCTACTGGTTATGATCAATCACAGCAAACAGATAATACAACCACATTAGTCACTGTGAACAAACAAAGACTGTTTGTTTATTTAGACAGACCACAATATTTATTATGTGTAACTGCTGAGTATTATGGACAAGTTGAGATTAAATGGCGTGGTAAATTGTACGACAGTGAAAGCTGGGAATTCATTGCTCCAGTTGAATCATTTCTACAGAATGAACCTGATGAATTGCATCGTTTCAATCTTATCCAAGCATCGGTAATACAATTAGTATCAACAAATCAGAAACGAAATACATTATCATGGACGGAAATAGAATGTAGTGCTTTACCGGGTTATTTCAAAAAAGAAAATGAAAATCTGGTATCGAAGCGGGTTGATCTGCAAATGTATAGTAGGTATTGCTTTTTTTTCAATTGTGAAATATTGATAGACTTACGACCTATTGAAACTGAGAATATAAGGAGCGTATCAATCAACTACGTATCATAAATTGTTATTTTATCTATCACCTCTTTTTTACGTATGTAAAGTTACAAGATATAATTATTAGAACAACATATATAAGCGAACAATATTGTTTTCGATTAGATCGTCATCAGGCTTTACTATAATATACATGAATATTTATATGAAAATGTTAAACCAATCAAGGTAATTTGAGTTGTAATCACAATGAAATGAAAAAGATTACGTCACTACATATAATAGGCCAAAGTACAAGTTGATAGTAGGAAGACAGGTGTACTGATAGTAGTAAGAAAATTATAAAATATGATAACTAAAGTTTTATCAATAGTAGGTCAAACGTGGATGAATAGACTTCAAATAATCATTAAAAAAACATAATAAGCAAATGTGTAAAAATAAAAAATAATAATGTCAGTCGTTAGTTACGTCATATCCGGCCACGGAAGGGATAGGGGTGTCACGAATTTCTTCTGAACACATAAATTGGGGTTGAATGTACGAATTCCTAGATCACTCGAAAAGATCTAGATTTATCTACAATGTGACCACTGTCTACCAGGTGTGCTAAGATACAACTGCGTATTGCTTTTGACTGACCCTTTATAAGCCATATAGTGACGTAATCTTTTTCATTTCATTGTGAATATTGACTCAAATCGCCTTGATTGGTTTAACATTTTCGTATAAATAGTCATGTATGTTAGGGCAAAGCCTGATGATGATATAATCGAAAACAATATTGTTAGCTTCTATGTGTTGTTTTAATTTTCACAATGGGAAGCTTTAATATAATTACCAATATTATTGAGATAACATACACAACGTTTTTACCGATTTCGAATTACAGTAAAACCACTTCAATCCACTGATTATAATTCATTATTTTACAGGCAATTTCAAAATATACACATAAAAGCAGTTTGTTCCTTTTGTAGCTTTTGGACTTTGGCTATCACACGGTTTTGAATTATACAGTTATGAAAATGAATTTGATTAAAAGGGATTTTTACAACAAATTTCAATTATCGAGACATTAACTTACTGGTGTATACTGATCCTTCTTAATCTCCATAGAAGTTTTTAATTCACCTTCATTTTAAAGTCAATACTGGACATGATGTGTAATTTAATTTATGATATGTTTGCACTTGAAAATAATTATCATGCATCTATATCATCATCGTGACAATTCTACAGTGCTTTCATTCATTCAATACTTCAACAACGAATACACATCACACATAGTAATATTAAATTTAGCATCCAACATCAATGATAGATCATTACTCACCTGAAAATTGCTCCATCATATGATTTTGTCAAATTAATATTTAACATTGAATGTATCATTCCATCAGGATATTTGTTCGATTGATTTTGTTGAATAATACTCGATTCATTGATTAGTTCACTTTCATTTGTACCTTTTAACACTGAAAGAATAAAGAGACTAGCAACAGAATATTAGCTTTTGAAATGCAATCACTTTTAACCCTGATTTACGAAAATGACAATCACCGATGTTGTTACATCGACGTTTTGAATGGATTTTTAACATTCCGGTTTACAACGTTATGATCTCTATGATATTTATACTAAAAAGACGTTCTGTTAAAAGAGTTCGCCTCTACACGAGATAATGTGGATAATATATCCTGCTAAGTGTTTTCAAGCTTAGAAGTAGATGATATTACACTAATTAACTTAGGCCATGTAATGGATGACAGTTAAATAAATAACTTATCACACAATGCAGATTAGCTGCTGTAAACTGATATACTTTTGAAAGAAACGTGACAACTGAATCCATGAAGTGAAAGATAACTATAATGACTCAAATATCGCCAACACATTTCTTAACAAGCTTCAATACACAATTGTATAAACACAAATGATCATGAATTTCCCTGATGAAATGATGACTGTTCACTGCTATATGTTTCAAAGTTTGTTTTTACAGCTGAATTAGTCCTCAAAAATCGTAAGAATTTCTTATTATTCCTTAAAATTTGTTTTTGTTTTTAGGAATTCCAGGTGTCCCCACAATTACGGGATATAAAGAAGGAACACTACTGGCAGATGGGACTATACTGACGCTACACTGCATAGGAGAACAAGGAAATCCTCCAGGAAAACTAGTTTGGATGCAAGGTAACACTGAAGTAATGAAGTTGTTAAGCCTATTTTAAATTTCCAGTCTCACTAAATTAAAATTCGGCTGTTTCAAGTATAGGTGTTCTTTATCAGTTATTACTCACATGTCGTGCTCGTCATCTCGTTCCTATAACTTGAATTACCTCCGTTTTATTCTAAGAATATCCACAATGATAATAATCCTTTGTACATGATCTGCCAGATCTCTGAAAAAGTTCATTTTACTTTTGAATCTGAAGTAACGTTTTATATAACAACATACCTAGGAACTTTGAAGTGTGAAATTTTCTATCTATGTATTATTACATTAGCTTGTGAGACGCTGCATCGAAAACGAGCTAATTTAACTGCCTTACTAAATCTGATAGAAATAGAAATAGTAATAGAAATCCATGAATGAACAATTTGCCAAATATTGAAATCTATAATCTGATAATTTTTTGGTGGATGAGAGTTGTGAACATTAAGTCTGAACTCAACAGTTAGGTAGACCCATACAAATAGATTTTCCAGAAATTTTCAGTTTGAGGATAGCTAAAATCATGAAGTAAATTTGACTCAAGAAGGAACATCCAGCAACTGTTTACCTTCAGTGTAGAGTTGCTCACTAAAATAGACTGCTAACTTTATCGACAACTGAATCGAGAAACTCTAGGATTTTTAGCATCTCATTACTTTAAAACCAACGTTTTAGAAACTGTAGGTTAGAATCATCGATCACCGTCAGTTCACAATATTGACCGACTGGTATTCAACACAACTGAATATATATATAAGGCAGAAAAGCACTACCAGCGTCAGTTCAGTAAGTTCTATCTTTGTATTCCAAAGTCTAACAATAATCAGTCAATAGTCCTAAATTGTTTTCATACTTTCGTCGTTATCTTGTCTTAAAAAAAAGCCAGGATTAATAAACTAGTAAAAATATTGTTCTGCATGCATTTGGCTGTACCTGATGTTTGATTCAAAAAATTCCAAACCAGTAAGAATAAATTAGGTATCAAGATGTCGTTAATGAAAAAACTTGTCTCAAACAGAAGCAAAATATTAAAGCATGATATATATATATATATTACTTGTTCTACCTGCGATGATATTCTTATTATTCTTTCAGTGTTAAAAGGTACAAATGAAAGTGAACTAATCAATGAATCGAGTATTATTCAACAAAATCAATCGAACAAATATCCTGATGGAATGATACATTCAATGTTAAATATTAATTTGACAAAATCATATGATGGAGCAATTTTCAGGTGAGTAATGATCTATCATTGATGATGGATTCTAAGTTTAATATTAGACAATCAGGGAATTACTAACAAATTTTTAAGTTGTTCAATTTTACCAATACTAAATGTCTACAGATATGTGAAATATGAGTTTTATATCTTGCATTAACTAATAATTATAAACCATTGTTCCAATATAAACGTATATCTAATTATTTGTATTCATTCAATGAAAAATCATTTTAAATCAACTCTTTGTATTTTTACTCTATAATTACAATCATAAGAGTGATAATCATTACTCTTTATTCTATCAAATCTGACATCGTTTGCATACTGGCGTTATGATACTTTTGCACAACATATCTATTGTAACTGTATTGTTGTCTTTTATATTATTCTGATTATATAATTACTATTACTACTACTCGTATCTGTAGACATAATTCCGACACAATTCAATGATAATGTTATACAATGACAATTACCATGTTGCATTAACATGAACAATTGCAACCAGTATACACTGCAGACAAAGTCGCTTGAATTAAACCATATGATTAATGATATGTCAATAAGAATAATTCATGGATACACAGCTAGTGAAATGTAATTACTGAGAAATATCAGATATCCATCTTTGGCTATTTATTTTATGATGAAATAAAATAGATTTTTTACTTCAGTTATAAAAATAGGAAATAAGACTGGTAGGAATGTGTTATGCAATGAGTTATAACTTACAAATCATATGAAAAAGAATAAAGTGTTTAATTTTTACAGTGGTACTATTTACAGATTATTTGATAAACTGTTAGTTTTGTAATTCAAAGATAAACTGATGTATTTGCCACGAAACAGGGTTCGACATAAGAAGAATGTTAATAACAGTGATAATCATAAGTGCTTTATTCTATGTCCAACATCTGTTTAAATGTACAAAATTTGAGCAAAAATATTAAAAATATTACAATGTACAGTTTCATTCTGCAGATTAAAAAGGAATATAATAACAAATAGTTTATCAGTGTTTATGTAACAATTTTCTTCAAATCCATAAGTAATGAAAGAGTTTAGTCTTTGCATTGTTTTTAGTCATATGATTTACATCTTTAGATACTACGTCTCAGAGCACTTGTATTGCGCTTCATTAGTATAGAGGTAATTATGCATCGCATTTTATTATTGAAGCAAGTGATTATTTAATCAGTGTAACACGGTTAAATAATTAATTACCACAAATCTAAAATACTAATATTCATTGCAATAACAAAACAGTTAAAAATTAGTCAGTGTGTTAGCCAGTCAATATCTATTCTTAGATCATGGGAAAAATTGTAAGTATTGAATATTATTCCAGACCGCTGAATAGCTTAAAGACCTGGGCGATTTACTGTTTCAATAAGAAAACTATTCCTAATAAATATTTCACAAATATCTGGATAAGGTAACAACCCCTTGCTACTCAAAATATTTTATAAGGCTTATTTTAAAATAGATTGTGTTTTATATTGAACATGATAGTTAAAAATCTCATCTTTGTAACCTTAATTAAAGACGATAGGCAAAGTATTAGTTATCCCTAGACATAATTTAAAACCCTTAGTCTTTATATATGATTTCTATAGTATTTAAACTGTATACCTTATATATGGTACTAACATATCCCAGTGGTGCATAATTTCAAAACAATTAATGTATTATGCCTCCTTTTTATCACTGGCAGTAACATTTTTTCAGTGAGATAGACGGATTTATTTAGAATCACGAGATTTATTTTCCTAACTTGCAACAGATGCTCAGATATTCTTTGAATTTTATTTAGATGTGGAACTATAAATCCTGGTTATGGATATTCAGATACACAATTCAGTTTACCAGTAGAAATAAGCGTAGCCTATTCAGCAACAGTATTGAATATTAGTGTTATAAATGGAACCGGACAGTTGATTATACATTCGAAATCACGCGATGAACTTCAAACTATTTTAAATCATTATAAATCTAAATACAATGTTGGAAATATACCAATAGTTCAAGCAAAAGCTGGTCATACGCTTGAACTAGTATGTCAAGTTGAAATGTCGAATCCCAAACCTGAACTGGAATGGCAACTTCATCATTGTCCACCTATTCAACTTGCATCAGTTTTGAAAGGGAATAATCATACAATCAATGATATGAAGTTGTCAAACGATCCATATGATGCATTTTTTAAAAGCTGTCAAACTATTCACTTAATTGGTAAGTATCATTTCACCTGAAATCAGTTTAATACTACATTGTGTAATAAGGATAATTTACTATTCAATATAGTTATTTGAAAAAATGGGAAACGGAAAATAATTTTTTTCTGATAACAACAAACCAGACATTGTATATTGAAAGCCAGTTCCTGTCACATCCTAATATTATCTGGCAACCTATGAAAACTATGATGCTCCAAATCCTAATTTTATCTTTGCGTGGACTGTTGAACATTTCAAGCTTACGACCCTACATAACACTGACTTCTACACTAAAATGTAAAACATTCAATCTTTCTTATGGTAACCACATCCTCATTATCCACTCTATTCAACGAGAACTGCCAATACTCTAATAAAAAGTCATAAAAAATGGCTCTTAATCAGGCTCATAGTGAATGGACTATTCTCGATAACAATAAACATTGTTTTAACAATGCTATTCACTGAGTAGAGGTATAAAAACTAGCTATAAGTTTCTGATTCGTAGTCTAAAAGCAGTCCTCTTGATGAAAAGCCTCAGCTCTTTGGCTCTCAACGTTGAAAAATTTTATAGGTACTCTCTGTTGTACGGTTCTAAATGGAAACGAGACAACTATTCATCAACCTTTAAATTTTTAATGGCCGCCCAGATGCAGTAAATTTATGATATTTGATTTCTGCATACATATATTCGATATCATATTCTTTAATGATATTTCATTCTCGACCATTTTCTTTCCAGGTAATAAATTAGAAGAAACAAAAACTGAATCAGGTAAAATTCGTCTATTAAATAGTTATTTGGAACTTCCTATGAACATATCACATGATGGAGATTTAATTGAATGTTTAATGAAAAAATATCCTGTGGAATATACTAATAGTTCCGTGCATGAAAAATATACATTGTCTAAATCTTATTATCAAAATACACATTCACAAGCACTTACATTATTAAATTCACATATTTTACTGTCTATTGAATTTTCACCAATATTTTTAACTTTAACAAAACAATTAAATTGGCCAGTGGAACTGAATTCATCAAATAAGAATGAACAATTTATACCACATTATATTGTGGTTGAAGGTAAATCTAAAAATTAGTCTATTATATTATTAATTATTATTATATTATTAATCTTGAATCCAATTTTATACATTTCCGAATACTTGTACTTTTAATAAGATGAAAAAGTAGAAACTTGTACAAATAAAATTCAATGAAATCATGTTTTTTTTGTTCAAATTTTGATTTGAAATGAAATTTGAAAAAACTTAGGTAATCATTTAATTAGAAGTTGGACAATTATGAAACAATATAATGAAAATTTTTGAATGATTACTATTAACTATGTACATTGAAATAGTTTTTTTTTCAAATGAAGATAACTAAACGTAAATCTGAATTATGACTAGTTTGTTTATGTAAAAAGAATGATACAGTGATCAGTTTGTTTCAAGTCACTACTCAAATGTAACTAGCCTTTCATAAATAAAAAAGACATGCTAAAAATCATGTTTTAGTAAAAAAAGAATGAACTTCCATGATAGGCTATTTTCAAAAACTATTCCAGTACATTCCCAGTATATATCATCATCAATATGAGTTTATAGCACCAATCCTTTGTTTTATTTAATATTTTTTAATCGATATTCTAGGTTGTTAGGGATTCGGATGTTATTCTTTGAAAAATGTAGCTCTTATAGATAATAAGCAAAGTAAACAGAATTAACTTTAACACGGACAAAATTATTAAGGTGTTACTTGAAAACATGATATGATAATATCCTTCAAATCGACATATGAAAGAACCTTCATGAAATTTCAATGAGTGAATGCATAAGCATACACATAGTAGGCAGAAGTACAAGTTGATAGTAGTAAGTAAATAAAATACGATAACAAACTTTTTATCACTGGTAGGTCAAACGTGGATAAATAGACTTAAAATAATCAATACAGAACATTAAAACCATTACGTAATAAGAAGTGTGTACACGATAGAAATATAGATGTATAGAAATATTCATGTATATTAGAGTAAAGCCTGATGACTATCTAATCGAAAACAATATTGTCCGCTTCTGTGTTGTTCTAATTTTCACAATGGGAATCTTTAATAAACAAGAAATTGTAACAGATTTAAAGAGCTGGTGTAGTAAAATTTTTATAATCGTTTTTTAATAGTCTTCAATTCTTCAGTAATGGGCACAAAAAAATATGCAAAAGAACCAGAAGTTAACTTTTTCCCTCAAAAGTACGAAAACACATACTTTACTATCGATGCCTAAATTTACACTTTTCCTTATTTATTTTCATTTATATGAACATGATTGATCGTATTAACTGGTGAAAACAGTAACAGTAAATTATCCGACTGTGGATATTACACCATTCTCATTCAAAAATATAGGAACTGAGCTATTAAGGTTTTTGATAACGTTTGACGAAATTTTTAAAACGTTAGAAATATTAACTACGCTTATAAAGGTAACGTTTAGATGAAAACGGATCATTTTATGCGTATTTAGAGAGGTTGAAAGTCAAACCATAGTAATGCAATTATGGTGAATGGTGTGTTATATGCCATTCGGATATCGGCAGCACTTAACTAAGAGTGAAAATAAACTATGTTAGTGGGATATTTGTAGTGAATAATAAACCTACCATAATTGGTTTAAGGCAACCATTATTTCTTCATACATAACTATAATATGTTTTACCGACCTAATTCATTCCAGAATATGTGAATAGTTTCATTAATGTACTCATATTTGTGCAAACAGTAATGCTTTGTTTAATTTATAGCAGTGTTCCAGAGTAATTCATCAACTGTCTCGTCTTAATATCTTTTCTATGATATTACGAGATTTCACCCAAAGACCACTGCATCTATGGTTGTCTTAGATGCGGTGTGCATTTTATGTTTTATAAAATAAGGTATGATCAAGTTTGTCAAACAAAATAGTCTAGATATTTTATATATACCATTACATGGATTAAGGTTTCATTTACTGAAATAATCATAGGATCCTACCTAGTAGAAATTATTAATTGTGTACTGAACATTATTCTTGAAAGTACAATGGTAATTAATATTCGACCTGTTACCACAAATAAGAAATATAGGTCATCAGTTTCCAAAATGGTGCAAAACTATTGAAAAATGTATTATCAAACAAAAGTCTAAATAACTTTGGAGAGCAGAATCTGATATTTAGTTCAAATATCAAAAGAATTAAACTTGTGTTCTACACATATTACATAGAGCTTCATGGGTTTTTATTCAACCGAGCATGATGTTTCCTGCATCTAATAAGCATGCATAAAACCATCACTATTTGTCAAAAGTCTACTGTCTGATTTTGTAGTACACAGCATAAAATTACTCCATCTTACTATGTCACGAATCAACCATTTCGATAAAACTTCTAGGTTAAGACAACATTTGGAGTCAAATATCTTCAATAATATTTTCGTACGAGTAACTAAAACCTGAATGTGTTCCGTGAATTTTAGAATAAAACTAATCTGAACGTAGTGAGCAAATTTATTCGGCTTCGTTGTTCGATTATTTTATTATCAAAAAAACACTGTTCACTTTTGTTTTTATGGCTATAAAGTGAATGCATAGAATAAATCCTTCATTTTTATGTTAAATTTGTGTTCAACCGGAAGAAAACTGAAATAAAATAGTTTTATGATTTCGTCTCATTTTTTCTTACTTTACTTTAGGTGGATCACTTGATTTAGATTTAGAACCTATTTCTAATCCATCATTAAGTAAAACATCTTGGTTTAAAAATGGCACACCTCTTCCTTTATCAAATGATCCAACAAAAGTATACAATTCTTTCAAAAATGAAGATCCTAGCAAAAGTTCGAAATCATATTCCACAGAAGATTTAAATCAACGTCTAATTGTAAAACCGACTAAAATATTTATTCATCCTGTTAAACGTTCCGATATGGCCAATTACACGCTGATTGCAACCAATGCTCTAGGGAGTAAAGAATTTACTTTTTTTCTCAATGTAACTTGTAAGTTATACATTATTTAATCATTACAAATTATTTCTTGTTTTTTTTACAACATTCCCAATGATTTAATACACGAATAGCAAAATTACAAATGTAACCTGTTGTGATGAAAATGGAATACAAATAGTTTTTTAAAATGTAACTAGATAAACGATAGGTATTTTTTTATTTTTTTTCTACAGTTAGAAAAAATTATATATTTTTTATATTTTATATTATATTTTTTATCAAAATGCAATCTGATTCAATAGTTTTGTTAAAGAGACGATGCTGATGATAATACTGAGGAACTGCTTTGAAATCATTAATCTTTTTATGACAGATTAGATCAAATGGTGTGTTTAATATCTTTAATAATGTTTTTGTGGACCAATTTTCAAATCTAACAATTTAACTACCGTTATACAAATAAAAGAGAGATTGTTTGTCACTGACTTCCAATAAATTCAGTCGACATGTTGTATTTCTGATGATAACAATTTCTCAGTCGCCAATTCTTTGATAATTCAGGGAAAGAAGAATGTCATTGAGTTATATTTAGAGAGGAAGATAAATTATGATTCCATATTATTCCTTTTATTTTCCTACTATTTTAAATCAAATTACCTGACTACGTATAATCATTTCCGTGAATGTTCTTAAGAAATAGGTTGATGTTAACTAATTTATATATAAGATAACTGATAAGTAAGCAAATGATGGAATTTCAGATGATGTATTCTTAGAAAAAATAATGTTTTTAAATGTCTCTGGGTTGTTCATATAAGTGGTTATGCACAAAACGCTGTCTTCAACATATATATATGTATATTCTAACTTGAAGCCTCTAGTATTTGCTGATGTGTACAGGATAAATACCAATCAATATGGTTATAATCTGGCATAACATTCAATAGTTTTGAAGATGGAACAATTCAAATGATGACAGTCATTACTGGCTACTCAAAAGATACCTTATTCACACAAAAATGTGAAGTGGTAGATTTCTGTATTTAAAAATAGCAATTATTGTATCTAATATGACAGGAATGAAAATTCTCACTAGCTTTCAATGTTTTCGAATTATCCTCAAGGCGTTTATTAATTCAATTCTATGACTGTTATTACCTTTATTACTAGACGGGCCCCAGCTGATTGGATCTCCTTCAATAAATGTGACAGTTTCTGGTAAAAAGGCTGAATTAATCTGTCAATCCGAAGCCAATCCAACACCAACTGCAAATGCTGTCCGCTGGAGGCGTTTGACAAACACATTAATTGGTTATGACTCCTCAGAAAATATCTATAGAAATTCGATTTCACGAACATCCTTTCATACTTCTCAGGCTGATTCTGCTGCTGGAATTCATTGTGACAAAGTTAGTCCTCAATATACTATTAGTAATTTTTATGATCACATATAATATGGCAACCAAATCCTGATTTCAGGATATTTAAAAAGCCAGCCTGTCTGTGATGCCTTCGTTGTCTTTATGATAAACAACATAGGTCTATATCAAACGACACATTCAAACTTTGTAATTAACAAAATTTAGTCTCCTTAGATTAGCTTATCGTTTTGTTCAGATTAGCCTAACATTTGATGAACGTAATATTAGTTGTTTTTGAATTAAATGTGATTATAAAATTATCTAGGAGAGCAACAAAAAGTCAAATATACCCAAAGATACATGTAAGTAACCCTCAGAAAATGCCATGAGACAAGAAATGTATTTAATCACAACAATGTTAGTTAAATCCTAATTCCCTGGCCTTCAAGAGATATAAATTAGGGTATAGTGTGTGTAGTTTTATGTCGAGCCCATAAGGCTCGTCCCGGAGTTTAGGCAAATTAATTACTTCACTATTCTCAAATTATGATTTCCTCGTCTTTTGACTCTGACGGCCATTTGCTCGTATCTTGGTTGCTTTTATTCGTGTGTGCATAGTGAATTTTTAATCACAGACATTTTTTTATATGCGTAAACTATCCTATAAATCTACTTTCCCGAAGTTTATGTCTTCGAACTTGAATTTAAGACAAAAAGATCTTATCCGACTCTCGAAATCACATGAGTACATACAAGCGATAATCAAACGTGCAATCCCAATCAAATAATTTTGCTAATCAAGTGCAAATCCAATGTTTTTCCTAATTTATCATATTATCCAGTTGATCATTAAGTATACAACATAATATTAAACTCTTGTATCTGTAATTTGAATATTCATAAACTGGTTTAGTTTTCATGTAATTAGGGTGAATAGGATATATTATTCAATAGACGCTTTTGTGGTCACCGAATTGCTGTTGTATACATATTGCCGATTGCTTTAAGACAAATCACACTATACGTTTGAGTTTAAACTAACAAAGGAGTGAATATTCTAGTCATCACTTTATTAATATTCATATATCCATGTTATTGGAAATGTGCAAATGATACTATTTACAGTACCTAACGCAAAAGATTCTGCTTTCGCAATCAACAGTTTACTGTTTAACAGTTTTCATTACATTAATAAACACAAATATATGAATAAAAAATCCAATCAAAACATATAGAAAACAAATCGCTTTAACAACAAAAGTAATTTATTAGTAGCCCAATTAAAGTATTTTAGACATTAGGGTTCTTCTAATAGCATTTATAAGTAATAATTTCAAAAAATAAATGAATGCCTGTAGGATAATTTTAACGACAATAAATTTGAGAAATGAATCAAACTTCAGTGCATGATTGTTGTCTGCTGAACACCCATAGTTAACTTACAACCTCGAAACACTCACAGTTCTTACGTTCAGATCTTCATCTATGAGAAGTATAATTAATTTCTGTGTGTAAAAGTTATTTTTATCCTCTACCTCAACATCTTCATCACCCTTGACATCCTAGTATCTATGGGCTAAAACAAACACTAACTGATATTACTCTATTGCTTATTTACCTTGTCTGTTTGATGCTACTGAGGGAATGTTGTTGTTACAATTAAACAAATTTCATTTCTCGTGTAATTTCGACTCAGCTTTCAATATATAGACTAGCATTTAACACAAATGCAGAAGTTGATTTTCATGATCAGAAAGTGATTAAATTTTGAATTTTGTGTTAGTTTTTAATTGCAAGATTATTATTTGCTCAGTCGATTAGTATAAAATGATTCTTTTAGCTTTAATCAGTATCTATGCATCCTTCCAACAAAGTGAGAACGCCAAGTGCATAACAAATAATAAATTAAATTCACCTTTAAAGAAAATTAAACATTATATTTACCGGTATTGATACTACTTTATCAAACTTCATCTTACATGTATCTATACCGTCAAATATTTGAAGTTTCGATCAAATTAAAGGTATGCAATCAAAGTTAACTTTGAGTGATGATGATCTAGAAGTTCATCTCACCCATGAAAGTCTAAACCACCAAATAAAATTATCGCTGTTTGTTGTACGATCTAAATAGTGAATAATTTATTACTCAGATTTATACGTCACTTTAATGTCATAGATTTTTTCATCATAAAATTCGCAGCTATAATTGTGAAAACGTTTTTCTACTTCTAAGTTCAAAATACATTAAATGTTGCTTAGTGCTTACAACTTCACCTTTCTATCTATTCGATAATCGCTTAAATCTACCGATCGGCTTTCTTCAAACAAAACTGATTAACTCATCATAAATACTAAAATATTCGATGGAAGATAAATAAAATGATATAACCTTTTCTAAATTTCATCCAAATGAAATAGAAAGGTTCATCCTAATCCAGTTATGTGTGATACAATATAATTTGGGACCTTAATATTATTAAATATATGTACTATTGATTACATTTTATGAATAAATTCTTTAGAATAGCGGTATACCTTTTAGGAATCTGCAATAAACCACAGTTTGCTGAAGTTAAATGTTTAGTCATATATAATTTTATTCCTAAATATAATTTTGTTTATATATACACAATTCCATTAGAATTTATGCATTTCTCTAAAGAGAAAAAAAATGATATACAGAATACTGATAAAAGTCTATCGTATAAACGAACAGAAGCAATAAACTGAAATTCTGTCTATTTATTCCAAATTCTATTTATATCTCATTCATAAGTGCCTTCATCTAATTTTCAAAAAAAATTGGACACTTTATCAGTAGATTATTTTTTCATTCATTCAGTACTGACCTACCAGCTGAACTTATCTTTTATTACTTCTTACAATATAGATCTAATTCATTTGTTTATTCAATATGTCTGTGTGTATACACTTAGTTTATTCTTTTCTTTTTAACTTAAAAACGATAAGTTTGCCTCCATTTTAGTTTATATTGTGAAATGTTAGTAAATGCAAATTTACTGGAATTAATCTAAATTATCCCATGAATGCATATAATTTTTAAACATATATATATATATATATATATATATAGGAATTTAGTTTACATAAATACTAAATCTAAGGTACTAACCTATAATATAAAGTAAACAAAATCTTGGTATTCTAAATACGAATTAGTCAGCGTTTTTTTTCTGAGAAAGTACATCTTATATCAGTCTGATACATAGTAGTGTCTGTAGTTGTTTCAGATATAATAAATGCACCATTTGCATAATGTACAATGTAAACATATTTGATTGAATCTTTGATACAGATTTTTTAAAAGCTGAATTTCTGAAGAAAATAAAAGTTGATCGAGATTATTGTTACATAAAAGACATCAAGTGAGCTTGATAGAATTGAAAAAAAGATGCTCTTTGATTTGAATCTCAAAATTCAAAAATAGACTAATCTCGTTTGTTTATGGTAATGGTTAATTTTTTTCTAAAGATATTCAATTTCATTATAGGTGAAGAACTATAAATTTTATTCTGAATATGTAAAACAGTACATTGAAAATAGTTTTATACAGGTTCAAAAATATAATTGAACGAATGATATAAATCACATATCTAACTATTTTTATCTTTCTACAGAATATGCATTCAGCATAAACAGCCTCAACAAACTTATTTTTCCCCCTGAAATAATTTGAGCTTATCAGACAATAATTGTTTGATATTTTCTAGTAAATATGACGAACAAAAAATATATTTTCCTCTTTATTACTTCGATAAACATTGCATGTAAAAATATGTTTCTTTAACGCGAGGAAATTAGTGGCTTTTATCAAAAGTGTGTTATATGATTAATAACGATTATGTTAGTCTGATTTATATCTGGTCATGTTACTCGATGATCAATATTTATGTACATTTGTCATCAAACAGGGTGAATGGAATGCTGGATTTAAATATTATGCCAAATGTTGGTCGTCAGCTCCTGGAGTAATGACAAGCACCCTTACAATATATAGTTTAAGTCCGAATGATGTTGGGCGATATCAGTGTAACATGGATAACGGAATTGGATCGCCAGCTGTTCGGACGATTGATCTTACTTATCCATGTAAGTTTCTAAATGTTATACAACAAATATAAATGAATTTCATTTGATTGAATCGCAGTCCCTGTCAAAAACAGTTTCTGATCACTTTATTAAAAAATCGAGATCTCGTATCTAAAAGTTGTAAAAGCAAAATGGTTTATGGTTGATTAAAAGTTACTGTTATCATATGCAACATACATCATTTGTTCTCCGGCACCAGTATTGATTTGCCTCTTTGACATTGCAGAAGAATTTCACATCAGCTTGAAGAAATTCGCACAAAGCAAATATGTCTATGTGTGGGTCATTACATTTCCGAATCAACCCTGTCAGTATATATCACAAAAATGTACCACTCTATCATTTGAAAAAAATATGTACTCCCTCCTATGACACTTTACTATTACTATGAATACTTTCATCTTGATTATTTAACATGAAATTCTCATTAATATTATACCATGACTAAGCCCAAAAGTTTTTATTTTGTTACATTTTTTTACGCATGATTTAACGGAAACCGATTAAAATTCATCACGTTGAGACATAAAATTATTCGCATTACAGGGTTGTGAAGATTATTAAATTACACATTTTTGAAACCATGAATCGATCAATGTTAGACCACCATTAGAAACCTGGAAGCACTGGACGGCCGTTTCATCCTGGTATGGGACTCCTCAGCAGTGCGCCTCCACGACTCCTTTACCCCGCAGGGTTTGAACCAAGGATCTTCGGTATTGTAGGCGAACGCCTAACCATCTGGCCACTATGCCGGTATCTAACCGAAGGTCCTGGGTTCGAATCCTGCGGGGTGAAGGAGTCGTGGATGCGCACTGCTGAGGAGTCCCATACCAGCAGTCCAGTGCTTCCAGGTTTCTAATGGTGGTCTAACATTGATCGATTCATGGTTTCAAAAATAAAATTATTCCTTAACTGCGTCCATGATGCATTTTGTTAATACTTAAAGTTTGACCAGAAAGGAATCTATAAAATTTTTATTTAGCATATCGATGTTTTCGAAAAAAAACATTTACTTACAATACAATATTTGTGAATTTAGAACTGAAGAAGTGATCGAAAACATTTGTTTGCTCAATTATTTCTGTTATACTTATTTTTGCACATCTTTAATTAAAATCAATTGATTAAAAAGTGATATTTTTTATTTTGTCGCCATTATAAATCATTATCTACTGTAACTGACATTTCAGAAAGTGAGAAATTACATTCACTACGTCGATATTTCTTATATACAGAAACTATTGTACAAAAGTGAACAGTCTTGAACTTATAGTGGTGTTCTATAAACCTACTAATAAAAAATAAAATTTTGCATAAATTATGTTACTTATTGTTATGATATCCAGTGTTCCAGATCTGAACATGATACACGTTAACCTCCACGCTCCCTTGGTCTGACCACTTAAGTGAAAAGGAAAGACTGAAATAGAAAGTCAATTTGGTCACTGAGTAGTAAGTACATACAAATACTCGTCTATGTAATTATATTCTACATACTTAGAAATAGAAGACATTTTCTTAACCTATGATATGTATTCGATGTTTAGGAAATTTCCTGACAGTCATCAAATGACTTTCTCAATTGGCCACTTCTTATTGGTTTACCATTTCACTTATTATATCATTCCCATGTATATTCATTGTTTTTCTTCGTAGTTGCACCAAAAATAGTACCAGTCACAAGATGGTCAAGAGCTGCGCCCAATATAGCTTCGGATAAGAATAAAACCATAAGTGCTACTCAATCCATCCCAATGTCCAATCAAATAGTCTCTATAGTGAAAGGAGATCATGCCAGGTTAACATGCGTAATTGCTGCAGAACCTATACCAGAAGTTCATTGGTTAAGAGAACCAGCTAATTTAACATTGATTGAAGGAGGCCAATTTCACTCAGTAGTTAAATCTATTCGACCAGGATTATATCATGCAATTCTGTATTTGGTACAACCGCAAGAAGTCGATTTGGGTCGATATTTTTGTAAAGTAAGTTTGCTTTGATCAGGAAAATACATCAACGTGTTTGTATTTATTATTTAAAATAATCATTTTTATTTACTGTTATATTTCTGCCTTGAAGTTAAAGTTGTCTAGCTCCAAATTTAAGGACTATTCTATAATTTCGTCAGAAATCATTTTATTAGTAATATAAGTTCATATCAATTAAAACATCTGATTTGCTTTTTTCCTTTGAAAGACTTTTACAACTTGTCTTATATTTGATCAGAAATCATCATTCGTAAAGTTATTGAATTAATCTCAAAATAACAATGTTAATTCCTTCTGAAAATTATTAAAATACATTTAATTATCATTGTACCATATGGCAAATTACTTATAGTTTATCAAATAAACTGATAGAATTTAACAGTGAACAGATGTTTTCAGCGCCAAAACAAAGATAATGAATAGTCTCAAATTATTATTCATTATATCGATATAATATAGAACTACTGTTCTGTGTATTACATTCAGATTCAAGAAAAAAATTCTTTTCTCTAAGAGTGCAGCATTATTATAAACATAGTTGCATCTCATTCAAGAATAAATGAACATTTATATATATATATATATAAAACATTATAAAGCTTTTAATAATCATTAATACTGTTTTCGAAAAGAACAATCTTTATGAGTACTGTCTATTTCAAAATATGACCAATGTAGTTTGATCTTTTTAAAACTAATTTTTCTATTGATCACATATAAAAGTTATCTAACTCATACTTTTATTATTTATGGCTCCAAATTAAAACATATCTTATAATCAAAATAATTACATGTAATAAAATATATCTCCTACTATATCACTCACTAACTAATTGTATAAAGCTAAAAAGTTGATTTGACATTATAGTCTATCATTACTGAAATAGAAAAGATTGAGTGTGGCTGGCAGTGTAGTCCAGGAAACGCGTTGAGTCCTATTCGGAACTCATCAGTTGCATGTATCTACACTCCAGAGTTACTGTTCACTCTCTATGGTACGAAATGTGCATCCTGAACTTGATGGCTACCCACATTCAATCTTTTCTATATGAACCTGTGTAATATTGATTGCATCAACATAATCCACATTAAATTCCCAGGTACCAGCTAAGACTGATCAAATTTCAGTTAAAATATAAATAACGGGATATTCCAACTCATCATTTTGGTCATCCACAATACAGTACAGTATACATTTGGACTAGCAAATAGTATTTACTTTTATCTAAATTAAACATTTGAGAAAGTGCTGAGAGTAAAAACGAAAAAAATCTGCACATCCGACAATATTTTTAACACAGCTGCATTTCTGGAATATTCTTACTGATTGCTGAATCAAATCATCAATATTCCATTTAATTTACTGTTTACACCACAATGGTGAAATCAAATGTAGAGTGATATTCTTAACTTATTCGGTTTTAGGGTTTAAACTCTGTATTAATCCTCGGTACAACTACCTGACAGTTCAAGGCTAGAAAGAAACTGTTGGGTAAAGTTTAAAGTTTCTAAATTGTTTTACAGATGAAATCAGACAGCGAATAAACAGTGGTACTTCATAGAACTTCCTAACTTTCGAAGTAATTTTCTGAATTAAATATGTAACCGTTTCTTTCGATAACTCTGTATTACTGATAAATCAAAAAATTCGTTTGTCAATATACAAAAACATAAATTTAGTTCCATAGTGATTGAATTTATTATAATGAACTGCTAAAAAAAAGTTTACAAATTACAACTATGATGTTGATAAAAATAGAACCATAATGTTTGTTTCAGACTGGGTGAGAATAAAAATTAAGCTATTCAATAAAGATTTTCCAAGCTCGACTAAATTACTATTGTTACAAAATTCATCATTTGCCTTATCAAACTACGTTACCATTTTATGTTGACCACAATCACAAGTAAACAGTTCGTACTAAAACCGAAATCTGTTGAACATTTACACAAATATATATATATATATATATATATATATATATATACAGCAAAAGTTAGAAGTTAATTTCACTCCTGCTGGGATTATTAGACTCATGAATAATTCAGTGCATTAGTTTTAATGAAATGAATGACATCCCACTTCCACAAAAGAAAGATTAAGTAAGGAATGTACCAACCAATGTATTAATTCGGAATCAGTTCGATAGTATATAGGCTTCAGTGATGCAGTAAGAAAACGAAAGATGTCAGAATTATGTGATAGATTTACGTAATACATTCTGAACCATTTAATCACTAATATAATAAAAGGTCAAATAAACAAATCAGAAGGTAAGGGCAACAAATAAATAGAAAACTTCGAATAACCACTTACTAACTTTGGCTTGTGACTCTTGCTGGAGCATAGGCCGCCAAGCAGCAATCTCCAACCAATTCTCCTCGGCTTCCCATTCCAGTTCTACTCAACTGCTATTCATCCTTTCCACTGTCTCCCTCCGAATCTTGCAGCAGTGTGGTCTCTGATCTGCCACTTTTCCTTTGGCCTTGAGGATCTCAAGTTAGGACTTGCCTCGTACACCACCAGTCCATACGGAATCCAGCTTGTTGACCTCAATGTTAGGCGTATGATCAAAGTTACATTCCATTCAACAACACTCCCTTGAAGACTTTTTCTGATACTGAGAGTAGAAGGATACCTCTGCAGTCTTCAAAATTGCAAAGAATTCCTTTCTTTCTCATCTTCATGAGGTGTCCTTCTATACAGTTTGTTAATACAGATTCTCCATTACAGATTTTGATGAGTAGAGTGTCGAACATATTTTTCGTTAATTTTCGTCTGTTTTTAAAGCCTCGGCTGGTGTATGTTGCCAGGTCCTAATACATTGCTGCTCTTCATTGTTCGATGATCATGCTGATTTCTTCAATTGTTTGTGGGTTAACGTCTTTTGAGAGGTCTGTAGGTATCGCTTCGAAGTTGTGTGGGTTCAGTGAGGCTGCTCCACTCAAGAGTTCATCAAAGTGCTCTATCCACCTGTTTTGCTATTCTTAGAACTCGGCGATTGCTTGCCATACTTGATCTTGACTAGTCATTCTGCTTCACTATATTTTCCAGCATGCTTCTTCGTTGCATTGTATCGCTGCCTCATGTTTCTTTTACTCGCAGCTTTTTCTGCTATCATTGCTTCATCTTCAACATATTTACGTTTTTCAGATCTGATTTCCCTCTTCATTTGCTTGTTTGCTTCTGTGCATCCGGTTTGTGCCTTGACTTCCTCTACTCTTCTTCAGCTAATACCGATTGCTGTCTCCCAGTTTTTCTTTTTTTCAGTCATATCCAGATTATCCATAGAGATTCATTCCTTGTAATGATGCTTCTTGTAGCTCAGAGCCTCATGAAATGCTGAAGTTATTGCTTCTTTGATCCCTCCACAGTTGTTCTCCATGTTAGTTTCCTCTTCACTGGGTATATCGTGAAAATCCAGGAACTTGTTGCTGTAAGCTATCTTGAATACGTCGAGTTTTCTAGTATCGTGAGGAAGAGATTTATTAAACTTCTGCAATACTGTTTGCTCGGTTGTCAATCGCTTCTTTACTGTCAGTTTTGCCTTGGCCACTGCCCAGTGATGATATAAAACTATATCAGCACCTCTCGTTGTCCTCCTTGGTCTTGCTGAATGTTTTATTGATGCAGATTTGGTTCCCGATAGTGTGATCCAATGAAAGCCATTTCGCTTTGTGTGTAACCTTTGTGTGGAAATAAAGTCCCACCTATAACTTTTTTGTTGAAGGCATATAGATTGCAGAGTTTAGATGGTTTGAACTTTTCTTCTGGTTAGCGTTTTTAGCAAGTTAGTTTTCTAAGGTCTGGGACTGATAATCCCGTGGTCAACCTTCCTCCCTAATCAGGGCTTGAGGTCAGCTGTTACTGTAGAGGAATTCCAGATTGAGTTACTTGAATACCTCTCAGAATAATTAATCAGCATTAAAAAAAGTAGGCTAATGGTAAAAACAATTTATTTCTGAAAGGATTTTCAATTTTCATATGACTGAGGCTTCAATATACTTACTTTACACCCTTGAACATTTTTGTATAACACTACAAAGTCTGACTTGAAACCAGCCTTACGATCAGTCTCAACAAACTGTTTCGACACGGATGAAGATAACTGTCTATTCTATGAACTTATTTGACCTTCGTAATTTATTTGCTTTTGTAGCTAATTAAGTTTATGTTCAGCCAAGCGCATCGTTCTATACCTGGATCAATAAATAATAAGATATTCAGATATTCAAGTTAATTATTCAAATATTGATAGCGAATTTGTAACTTTACCCCTCAACTTGATCAAAGTATTCATCTTACTACTACTCATCTCAGCACTCACAAACAACAAGCTCATCTTAATAATACTTCTAAATTTGTTCTGTCTAATTAGAAAAATAAATTTTATTTAAATTCCGTTTTCCTTTCGATTATTAATTTAGGCTTATTACTATAGAACCTGCAGATAAAAATATTCTTCTTTCGTACATTGGTACATTCCAATTTGATAGAAATTTTTTAACTATTATCACTTGTCATATTACATTTTCATTGAGTATGAAATTGGTTGTGATTAATGGTTTTCATGTAAACTACCACCGACGAATCACTTTGTTCTAATCATTTCTTTTCAAACTCATTTTTCACATGAAAGTAACAACTCAAAGTATCAAATATATATATTGATGATTTTAAGACAGAAGTTGCGATGGGCGTTAACTATCTACCACTGAATATAGATGTATTATAATAAAATTTTATTTATCGATGCTGAAAATATGATTCCTTTTAAAACACCTAGATGTGACATAAAAAAGGCGTAGAATAGGATGCTCCAAGAGGACTTTGTTCATACCATATTTGTTACTCAATATTTAGCTTATTTTCTACAGCTTTTCATAATTATAGTAAAATATTCATTCCTTGAGATTATAATGTCTTTGAATTTAAAATTTTTGCCTTAATACTTCAATATTTTTGGCAGTAAGAAGAAAATGGATACAATGTGTGATACACATCAGTAACTGTGTACACATTTCTATACTTCTATTAGTAATGCACATTTTGTGCAAAGCGTAATAGTGATACTTAATAATACAAGTAGCCAGTGTTGGGCTCGGTTTGATTGAAATACCTAGCATAGCAGAAAGTATTAACCAACCAGTGTACAAGTAACATAATTAGTACTAACTAAATATTACACCGGTGTCTAAAGTCGATGGATAATTAACGCATTAAACGAAACGACGAAACAGAATTAGTCAAAAACTATCTGACATATTCAAAATAATCTTTAAACAAGTAATCATAAATAAAACATAATTTTATATCTGATAATGGTATATAAATTTTAATTTTAAAAACATTACAAGTAACCATTTTCATTTACTTTATATTACACCATTAATCACGTATCTCAGCCTACATTAATTGATTATCTTAAATTATCACGAATACTATTTAACTTGTGGCTTTGACATCTGAGAATAATACTAGTGAGTATTTGGAATACATAAAATAATCTAACTCAAGATGCATTAGAAGTTGTTCAGCTCAACCGTATACACTTTGCATTTGAAATGTTATTTTATATCATCAAACGTGTGTGTGAATGGATATTACTAGATTTTCTATTGGATAAATTGTCTTTACCAACTCTCTATCAATCTCTCTTTTTTATACATTTAAAATAATTAATGTAAAATCAAGTTCTGCAAACTTCATCCTACCTCCGAAAGATATCATATTGTTTAAATACTGAAGAAAATTCACCATTTGCCTGAAGATTATGCTTTTCAGTTTACATTTCTATCATGACAAATTCTTGCATAATTTTCCTACTTACCAAAATATTGTTTTATCTTTTGCATATGACAATTTTAATCTGGTCCGTATACAGAATAAAAATATTCATGTTCTCATCTCTATTTCAGTTAAAATTACCGTATTCAACGATAAATGATGAAAATAAACTTTATAAAACAAACGATTATAAAGTTAACATAAATAACATTCACCAACTTATCTTCTTAGATTTTCTTGAAAGTTATAATTAATCAAAATGTAGCACCTAGATTCTTTATAATTCGATGCAAAGTTTCACAGTCAGAAAAAATCCAAATATAAGCTACATCTAGAAACTAAATTTAGTTAAACTCGCAGATATATATACATTTATATTGGTAATGTTTTTTCAGATCATATAATTATTTTATCCTGTTGATACTTTCATACTTTATAGGAAATATTGATTAGATCAGATGGGTGTGTTAATAAACTGAATTTTCCGATATTGGTTCTGTCTAAGTCGTCATAAACTACCATTCCTGTCAATATTTATATATATAACAGACAGTTATGACTAAATTTAAAATGAAATCTTAACACTAGAATAGCAGATTTTCATCGCAGATATTTTATGATTATTTTTTTTCTTTTTACCCAGTAGTTAATTTTCCGAGTTGGTTTACTGAACCTGTTTCATACAGCTGTTTTTTCCTATTTTTTTTTCAAAAATAAATATCAATTTATTTATTAGTAAAAGTATGTTGATTTTCACTTAACACAAATATTTGCATATTTTGTTTTAATGTTTGCCATTATTCTAACCCAATGAAAAACTAATTTATTTTATTTTAATCATAAATGAAAAAACCAATTATTGAAATAGGCAAAAAATTTGGTTGGTGAAGATACCGGTCGTGTGGATTTAATACCTTCAACGCAACCTGATCTTCCAAGTTCACCACGTCTATTAAATGCAACTAGTACAAGTTTAACCGTTTCTTGGACACAAGGATTCAATGGTGGTCCAGAACAAACTTTCTTGGTAAGTAGACTCAAAGTTTGCTTACATTGTGGATGAATAAATTTCACAAATTTTTAATAAATAACAGATTTTGTTGAAATAATGTTTGCTGATCTATAAAATTTTCTTTTGAATAAATTTAGAAGGATAGTTTTGTCATCTAACTTTGATGTAAAATATCATCACACTGTACAATATTCACAAAGCCCCTATACAGAAAAGCCCTATCTTTGTTTATCACTTTGATATTAGTCAACTATATTATGTAAACAAAAAACTAATTAACATTTAAAATGAAATAATCGCTTTAGTATTTGTAAAACAAGACTACAACCAGTAGCACTAAAAATAATGAATAATAGTGTAAGTATGCAAATCGCTTAGAACAAATGATCATGTACCTGTTTTTAGTTTCATCTATCTTAACACCCTTCTTTATACTATAGATATTATCCAGTTAACTTGGAACTTATTTAAATGTTGCTTTCTACATTTAGATTTACAGAAGTATCAGGTTTTAGCAAATTTTTGAATGAATATATTTGTAATGAATATTAAAAAACAATTCCACTTGTATCCAAGCGATATTAATAATTATCTTGCAAGAGAGAAAATATGCTTAAGTGTATTCAAGTCATATTGTAATTTCATAATTGTATTTCATTAAAACTTAAAAATTAAAATTAAAATCTAATTAGTGCATAGTAAGATTCAAATGAAATAGAGGAACAAGGAAAAATACACAAGAAAATGACTTTTTAATCAGATTGCCCTATTTGAAATCGTCGAAATATTTGAGTTTTTTACCAATAGCGATATAAAACATAGCCACTGTATACGTAGTGGAGATTATGCATACTGACCAATTTAAAATTTAATTAAAACATTCAGTACAAACTGAGTTATTCCTTGTTCTGATTTCTAGATTTATTTTGTAGATATATTTTCATCGACCAAGTCGTTATACAGCGTCAGGAAATAGAAGAATTTAAACACTGTTTAAAACTAACATAAACATTACAAGAAATAATGGTCTGATACACAAAAACATATTGCGATTGTCGATAGCTGTAATAATCTAGGTTATTTGATATACCTTATATTTTAAAGTGCATAATTTTAAAAATCGGATTTTATAACTTAACATCAGTAATTTTCAATGTCCTGATTATTCTTATATAAGTAATACATGGTTTAGCTTTAGAAATTTGAGTTGAGAAAAAGTCGAGTAGTTATCATAATGATAACATCAACATTTTGGGGGAGACTTTAACATGGCACTAATTCTTGGAATCACCAAGATCCAATGGATTTTCAAGTACAGTATGAGGAATATAAAAGTGGCAGTTTTTGGATCACAGTTTTAAGTACTTACATAGATAAGTTTAATACTTCTTAGCTATCGACTGGTCTCGCCTATTGCATTGCATTTCTGGTGAATACATAGCGTTTCTCGATTATACTTAAGTCCATGCTAAAATATGAGTGACATTCCAAACCTACACATTCTCTAAATTCATGTCCAACAAACATACTACTTATAAATTGAAATTCGTTGATTAGTTACATAACCATATAAAAACCCTTTGATTACGTTCAAAAATAACCTGCCTATAGTTCTCCTACTTTAAAAGTAAAACTAGTTTCAGACTAATCCAGAATTCTGTAAGTTTTAGTTACTGGTGAAAATAATAATTTTTCTTCATTTGTAAATTCTTTTATTTACTGTTAAATAGTTTTCCAAGATATCATTCATTCCTTCCTACCTACATCTATCATAACAACCAATAATTTTTTTATATAATGAAACTAGTTACAGGCAGAGATGGATAGTGGCTAGAAGCGGAATCCAGGATGCATATTTCGTCCTATATTTTACTCGTCAACCGAATGTGCCTGCATCTAAGAGGTGATGTTAACCTTGAGACATGAACCCAGTACCATTAGCTAAGTGGATAGTGCGATAGCGCTTAAATGACACGGTGAAAGGTTCAAGCACCGGATTGAACACAGCAGATAAACCCAGCTGATGAGTCCTAAACGGGACGAAATTCGCATCTTGGATTCCACTGCTAGACATTATCCATCTCTGCTTGTAATGCTTGTGACCTAATGGTTACATCAAAGCAATCCGCGTAGGATGCACATATTTAAATAAGACTGAACATTTGCAGTCCTATCTAACGATGAGGAGATTCATACTATCAATACAAATGAATTTTGTATTCAGGATATATCACTATTTCGTTTAACAGTAGTAATAGAGTTATTATTGATTCACGTATGTTATACTTGTACTTTATAGTAAACGGGTTAATATTTTTAGTAATAATCACTGAATTCAAACTCATTGATTTAATCATCTAATTATTATGCATGCAGAACGTACTTCTAACTGGATTGAAATTTTGAGTATGCATATCTGAGATCCTTAACGCTAGAATGTATTGTTTGTTTGAATAAAGTTGATTTATATATAGCTCTTTAATCCGTCTTCCGTTTGTAAATAGATCTGTACGAATCATCTTCCTATATAACAAAATATTTCATACATTTTGCTAATTGATTTCTCATCTACCAATAGCAAAGTCATTTATTATTCATTAACATATACAACAATGTAGTTATTGATTCCAACTTCTTTTTTACTGTTTTCTCAACCAGTTACATTGGCATCCAAATGAAGATCCAGATCATTATGATAAAGTCAATATTAAAGAAGATTTAGACAATGAAGTATTAACCTATAGCATCATTGGTAAATTTGAAGTAACCGTTTTGCAACTTTATGTTCCCAAAATTATTAGTCAAAAACGGTGACAGATTATACTATTTCTTCCTTATGTTTTTACAATTCGGTTGAAAACAACTCACATGAAATCTGTTATCTAAATGTTAAGCTTATTGAATTTCATTTCTCTCTGAAGAAAAGAGAGCAACACTTCATCATGACTGTTCACCTTTTACTTTACGAATAAAGTAATTTCAATGTTAGTTGTTTAAATGAAAATAGTAACGTTAACCAGTAAATGCAGAATAAATTTTAGTACCCTAATCAAATAACGCACTACATTTATTGTAAAGCCATGAAGATGAAAGTTTAAACTGGTAATTGGTTTTTTTGTACGGATTTTGTTGTAGAACCGGTTGAAAAAATAACCAGGAAGTAAATCTCAGTCACCAAATAATTTTTAGGAAAATCATTATGAATAAATTAAGTGTACATTTTGTAATGAAAAGAAGAAATAAATTCAAACATTAAGGATTTCATAATAAGTTTTAAACAAACATTCAACTTCATTTAAAATCATCGTATGCAAAATTATATACGCAAAACTAAAATTATAATTTGAATTCAATCGCTTGAACATTTTAACAGAATAGGTTCTGTAAATCATACAAACTGTAGCAATATTCTTTGAACAACTACTCATTCTCCAATCTATTCATTCATTCCTTATTGAATTCTTCATGCCTGTAAATTGGCGTGAATTCTGCAATTATTGTTCCCAGAATATGATATTATTAGCAGTATAGTTGATGCGTTCATACAAAAAATACCAAGGTTATTTATGGATTCAGCAATAAAGTATCTATTAAATACAACGAAACGCTGTACAACAAGTTTAGTTAAACTAACTCGTGTCATATGTTGTTCACTTATGTAAACAAAATTAGGTTGTAAGATAGTGAGTGTGAGTAATCAAATGGAAATGCTAAACCGAGATGTTTTGCTGTTTTTCACTCGTTTATATGTATAACCGTAGTTTTAAGGGGACTAATACCTCCTAACGGATTCACTTGAGCACTGAAACTAAATTAACATGTATATTGTTTGGAATGTTATAAAATCTTTGATTTTTAGACTTATTCTCGTTGCCAAATATCCTAACTTTAGGGTCTTCAGGAAACTTTTCTCGATATTTACCTACTGCATACGTTCTTCTTGGTATATTTAAAATAACAATGCTTTTTCTCTGACCTTCTGTTGCAAGCATTAAAGTAATAAGCACAATAACTTAGTATTTGTTGTGAAATTATGAAAGTACATTTTGTCAACAAAATTTAATTTGTTGCTTACGTTATGTACGTTTCTACCTTCTGCTGTCAAGGATAGTAAATGTAACAACGTTTTATGAAAATGGTTTGATATGATGATATTGTAATGATGTCATTAGTAATAATGAAGTGATATCATTGGACTATTCATTAAAAGATTTAGCAATTAATCGGATTTACATTTTGATTGCTTAACAGTTTACAAATCCTTGAAATTTGTCCATCAGTTTTATGTTAGCGATCTATATCAATTTTATCTTTGAATAGTAAAACCGAAAATCGTCATATTTAATCTATTCACTTACAGTCCGAATAATGAAATCTAATGTACGTGGCATATACACTCGTACAAAAGTTGTTGAGAAATGGAGATCAACAAAACTCGTAAAACACCAGGTGATAAATATTCTTGCTGGACTAATAACGGAAGTTGTCATTCACATACATAATCTGAAATCTTTTGACTATATATTTCATAATTACATTTGACTACAACTTTGTGTCAATGTTCATATAAAATATTGAGTGAATCCGAGACAGTTTCTTATCTGTTAACATGACTAAAACACACATACGACCTGAAGTATGTTAGTACACAATACAATTATTACTTATTTTACTAACATGTTTAATTTATTTCATTATTTTGCATCTATCTACTAGGCCTTCAAAAAGCTACAACATATCGTGTGTCAGTTAGCGCTTATAATACACTGACTTCTGCAACCTCGTTCACACCTTACCTTTTGGCCTCTACAACTGGTAAGTTAGGCTGTGTTGTTTTTTTTACGGAAAGAGTGATTGACATACAAGACCAGTTTACTTACATATCGTGACATCTCATTGACGGCTACCAAAAGCTTTATGGCTTTTGGTGACTTATTGAATTGAATGTGCAGTTGAAGAATAGATATCAACTTCTGATGATATTATTGTTTTGTGTTTTACAACTGAAATGGATTACATTAGTTTGAATGTCATTAGAAAGGACATACAGAATTAAGATATCTTGATTTGGTTTTCTCGGTTTGATTACACTGATCTAAAAACACTGACTTTAATAAATTAAAATATAAGTTTTTATTTGGAAATTATGCATTTAGAAAAACACTCCATATATTAACAGGATTTGATTTGTTTTATAAACTAGATTAGTTCTCTTTTTTCTTGTTTATAAAATGCTCGAGTAGTCATTCACCAATTAAAGCTTCACATTTATTGATGTATGAATGTTGACATTTCCAGGCGCATATGCATCTTAGAGATAAACAATTCTGTTTAACTGTATGAACACACTTCAACAAAACCAAGATCTTTGGCTAAGAAAATGTTCACAAACCAGCAAGTGACCTTTTCATTGTGATTAGAGGTAAAATAAAGATATTTATGAAGTTCCATTTATTTTCATTGTTGACTGACATATGAAAAAAATTAATTGTAGATTCATTACCTGAATCATCTGATAAAAATACACTTACAAGCATTATGATCAATCTTATAAAACATAAGTAAATTGCGCATGGTATCAAAATCATTAGATATCACCGACCCCTTTTTTACGTATGTTATCGTTTTTGTAATAGTTTAAAAATCGAATCACAACTACATTTAAATTTATGTATACTTCTGATCATATTTTGAAGAAATTTAAGTTAACTGCTGGAATAAACTATTAATTACTAGAGCTTACTATGAACAACTAACTATCTGTAACAGTCTAAGAAGTATTCATTTCAGGTGTTGTTAGTTTTCATTTTGATTTTCAAGCCTTCAACCAAACTCCTACAGGGAAATTCGAACAAAAACCAGATGTTAGTAATGATAGTAAACTGCTAATACGCAGTTTGACAATCTAGCATACTACACCACCCTCATTATGACAAGTATTTTGGAAGTGTTTTTTCACTAATACTGATCAAAATAATATGAATTTTGCAATCGATCTCACTTCACTAAAATCATCAATTCAGACTATGATGAAAATGAAAATTTAAAGTGAGATTGGTCGATCATTTTCCTTGTATAGATAAGTGAAAACTGTTACTAAAGTTGAAGAGATAATGATTTGCTACAAGTTAATTGGTCTGAGTGAACAACATTTCTGATAGTTATTTGGTATTAATTAGATTTTCGACTGAAATTCAACACATCACTACAATTACAATTGTAGTATATGTGACAAAATGTAGTAATCCAATTAACTGTAACCTAAAATGTATGCAACAAATTAATAAAAACCAACAAACAGATGATTAATAAGAGATTCTTTCAATTCAAAATCTGATCACTGAAAATAACCAATAAGCTGAAAATACTACAGAATAACAAGTTCATGATCGAGCATTATCTTTTGTCCGTTCAAACATGTCTTGAAATGTAAAATACTGACTTGAAACACTTATCGCCTATTCTTTTTTTTCGATACATTTACCGAATTGATTCTATCGGTACTATCTGTATGTCGTAGATTTCTTTTTAAAAAAAATAATAAATAGATCAATATATGAAAATTCTCTAGGGGATTGTAACTCAAACCAAAGTTTACTGTTTCATTCAAGCAAAAACAAGTGCGCTTAGGAATAGATTTATGCAAATCATATTTCTATGAAGACAAAATAATTTTTAAAGATATATGCATCAGTAGTTATGTAATAAACATCATTCATATATTTAAGCAAGAAATCATTTAATTTATATATATGTGTACAATAAAATGTTTAGCATGAATTAAAGCAAACTAGTAAATTTAGGGAGGTCCAAAATTCATGTTCATTCAAGAATAAATATATTAACTTCAAATAAAGGACATCTTGTAGATAAAATTATCATATCAAGATATGAATGATTAAAATATTTGACAGCCTACAAGTTAAATTGTTTGACCAAGGTTACATCAAAGATTTGAGTATTCTTTTAATGACTTAAAAATTCATTAGTTATTCACATTAAACTATCAATATCAACTAACGGGAAACCACCTTCAAATGGCTGATGATATATTTGATTCCATTGACCTTAAAACTGTTTTGCGTTAAAGATATTTTTACTAATTTAATATTTTAACTTGACATGTCTCTTTTGATTATTGATAATATTGAGAATCTATTAGTACTAAGACTTCAAGATCAATCTATTATAGAATTCTTATCACAATTTACCTAGGTGCTTATTACAGTATTTCTACACTAAATGCTCGTAAAAAAAGTTAAAGCCTATTAAATACATTGCAACTGAAACAATAAATCCAACTTATAAGTAAAATTGGATTGCAAAGAGTAGTGATGCTCATTTAACGGTGTTTGAGTTTAATCATCTGTATCAACTTGCGTGTACCAACTTTGCTTCCATCATCTTGTGACTGAATGACACTAACAGAGTGATCTGCTTAGGATCTAGACTGATCAGTTTTAGCCCTTAACCCCAACGACTGGAAGATTCAAACACTTATCAGGAAAATAATACATTCACAATCATTTATATTGAATGTAATGAATAAAACAGTAGCCTTTCTTCCAACCAGTAACTTTTAAAACTAAGAATAAACATCTGTAGCTTTGATGGTAATTTTTTAGTATTTGAACTTACGAAAACAATTTACAGGGACTAGAATAAAATAATTATGAAATCATTGATCTGGTAGATATTCTAGTAAACAGGAATTTCACAAATTTTGTGTGTTGAAGTAGCTATGTAGCTACTTACAGTATTTACGGATGTTATCTATACATACTCTGTTCACACATAATTATTAATAAGTTTTTTACACAAGTGAACAGCTGAAGACGAGGAATACAGGTTTATTTTCTTTATTGTTGTAGTTCCAGTTAGTTTCGTACTCAACGATATATTAGTACAAAATCATACTATTTTGACAACCGGACTAATCTGTTATTATTTAATATATATATACATTCCTTGTATCCACTAATTTTTAATAATTTCTTTCATAAACATTTTTGATTGAAAAACCCACCGCAGAATTTGACTCCATGTCAGGAGAAGAAGCAATGAGAGATGAAGCCAAAGTCAAATCATTGAAAGATATTCAAAGAGGGCACTGGGATTCTAGATGGCAATTAAATTCTAAGAACTCCGAAAACTCCATAAATCCAGATCACCAAAGACGATCAGTTCGATCTGGTCATGAATCAAATTCTTTTGAAGATAACGCTTTTGTGATTATAGTTGCTGTTTCTGTATTTGGATCGTTTATTTTAATAGCAAATTTATTGATAATATTGATATTCACACGGTACAAGCGCCAAAAAATGAAACAGGATGAACGTAAACTATCTGGTGAGTGATACAGCTAAATAATGAATCAAATCAGACTGAATATTGTCTTTCTTTAAACCACTTAGACGCACTAAATTCCTGTTTGATTTGAATGATTGTTTTATGATTTACCTATCTTAATAGGGTTTTATTTAATTTATATTGGTTCTTTTTATCTTATTCTTCTTCAGTTCACTTTGTTAACTGAACTCAACTGTGGTAGATGAATTGCGAATTGTCTGTTTCATTAAATGTAACACGAAATAAAATTCACCAATGTATAAATGTATACTTATTCCTTAAATAGTAAATGTCAGTTGTCTTCTCGGGTAGACTTTTCGCTGCTTATTAAAAATCCTGAATGTATACGACTACCCAATATATGAAACTAGATCAATCGGTCTCTCCCTAAGTGATAATTTTCGGAATGAATTTCTAAGTGCTACAAGTATTTACATGCTTAATTTAGTTTTAATTTTGAAACTGAAGTAACTTGTTCTTCAATATTTGAAGCTAATGACTCTGGATATAAGTTTCACTGGGTAGATCAACATCCGAAAGAAGCTTTATCTTATTGGATCAGACAAAATTCCAACGAGTGACTGTTCAATACTGATTTGCTATGCTAGGAAAGTACTTTTCGAAAGTTTTAGAGGAGATGTTGATAAAATTAACCGAAAGCCATGAATTACAGTCACGTTAACAGCTGAATAATCGATCAGAAAGGTTCATTAAAATGACAGATCCAGTAACTTGTTAAATGGTTATACATTTGTTCATAAACGAATAGTACACTCCATTAACCGTCATGTTTAATGTTTTTTAACAACTTCATAAGAACTTAGTGTATCATATCTTGTCAATAAATAATCATCCTAAATAAATAAAAACTGATAGTGGGAGGAGAATAATTTAAAATAACGATATCTTACACATAAATCCTCCTGCTACGATTTTCATTCTTACTTTACTTCAACTCTTAAAAACAGTCAATCTTACACATTAATATTTCATCATTATTTTGCAATTAAAATCAACTTGAATGACACAAACAAATAAAAATGTTGAAGTAAATAATTTTATTATTTTATGTAAATGTTGATCGAATTTATTCTGAAAAGATCGATCAAGCTGATAACAGCTAAGGTTGTTATGTTAGCGACTATTTGCAGATAAAATGTGCATAGTTAAAACTTGCATATTCATGTTTGTGATTTATGTCTATCATTTAAATATGTACGAAAGTGAATATTTCTAAAACATTTCCCAACTGTTCACTGAAATGACATTTACTGTCACCATTTTATTAAACTGAAGTCTTTGAAAATACCGATTCAGTTATGTTGATAGTTCTAAACACAGTACCTCGACTAAATATTAGCTACGATTAAAAATAATAACTGACTACTGAAAGAGGATTCAGAATATTTGATGAATAGTAAGGATATTCCAACAAGTAATTTTGACCATATATTGATCACTATGCTGGTCAATCAATTTAAGTGATTCATTTTAAGCAATGATTTCAAGCTCCTGTACTCATTTGAATTAGAATCGTATTAAAATGTACACCAAAGATAAATTAAATGATTGAATAACTTCACATGAAATATGAACACACATATAAACCATTTTAAATTTTAAGTCAGTATTGTTGTATGAAGTAGATTTTTTTTCAGTGGAAAATGATTTACTTCACTGATATAAATTTTCTATTTAGATATTTTTTTTATATTTTCAGTTGCAGGCGAATTTATGCAAACAAACCCAGCAGAACATGGTTTTCCAGAAGTACACACAAATCCACAAAACAGTTTCTCAATGTATCCGGACGATATGCGCTTAAATGCTAGTTACATGTTGCAGTTAGCACCACATGATCAGGTAACATATGAAATCGTGCTGCCTATATTAAAGTACATTTTTAAACAAAAATTAATCAGAACATTATTTTACCAGATTATTTGCAGAAGTGACTCATGAACATAAAATTTCTTTCCTGAACTATTAACAATAAGTTTTTTTTATAGTTTAGGAATAAAGCAGATGACTACGCAAATAACCAAATAAACACTTTGTTTTAATACTCACTATATACTTCAATGGTAAGCCCGAAATCTGAGGGAAAATACACACAAACGTCCGGTTACCTGTTTCATTTAAAATCTAAGGTTATAACGAGTATTATTTGTTAAATACGCCAACATTATCAATGATTAGTTTGCTTCATATTCTTTTTATCATACATACAATAAGATTCAGTGAAATACTAAAGTAAATAAGTTAGTTAATAAGCATCATTTGTTGGGGACGTTAGATCCCCAGAAATCGCTTGATAAATGCCTTATTCTGGATTCCACGTTTCCGAGCATGGACTGATCAGTTGACCTTGAGATTTCATTTCCCGCCAAGAAAATCCTTGGCTGTGATTGGCTGCTGCATATTTTAGTGTACTATTTTTGTGACCGTCCTAAGGACGTTTCTATGACGTATAAATAAACGAGATTTGTGTGCTTTATTGCATGCTGCTTGCTGGGTGTTTGTAGAATAAACTTTCTACGCTACATCAAGACTTTTCATCAGTCAGCAGATTAGGGTAGCGTACCTGGACTCTGGTTCATTGTCTCATTCGCGTTTATCGACTAAGGTGAACTCGTAACAGTTTCAAGCATACCCAATGACGAACCTAACAAGTAACTAAGTTAGTGAATAAGCATCATTCCAATCTACAGTTATGCAACACTTAAGACAGTTCGTGTAAACACTTTATTTATGGACGACAAAAATTGACGTTAGTATTTAAGTCAGATAAGCTTACGCTATCATGACTAAATTAAGTTTACATGTTTAAAAAAAGCAAGACTATTACAGACTTGAGTGTTTGTTCAATGTTAACATGAAATTATCCTATACAAATCAAAGATTAAAATGGGGATGACTTTTCAACAATAGCTAAAAAATGTTAACAATTAAATTTATTTTTCATAATTACAAATGCTAAAAATGTATTTTTACAATTTATGAAATATATTATTAAATGTTAGGACATATTGAACACTGAAAACAGATGTAATCAAAAAGAAATGATCATCTGGATCAATGTAAAATAAATTGGTTCAACCAAAGTTTATGCGTTCCTAAACAACTCATTAAAAAAATTCAACCAAAAAGTAACCTCATGAAATACTATGTGTACCAAAATACTGTGGCATCTTCTCGAAAAAGTGGAACCATTTATTTATTTGACTTGAGAATATCTGGAACAAATTCAGATAATTTCGAAAGAAAGCCCTAAAATGAATCGGGCGTACTAAGTCATAGCGTTATGTGATTGTTACAGTCCCGTCATGCATCCCTGAGTTATTTATGTGGTTAATAGTACGTTCCAAGCGAAAATACATTATCGTTTCCTAATCCATAATTTCATTTCACGTAAACTATTAATTAATATAAAAGTGATAAGACATTATATTCACAGTTAAGTTTAATGGATACACAAATTACTACATAGCTCATTTTAAAAATTAGTCCACTTATTCTATCTTCTCTGAAGAATCTACAATCCATATAAAACAACTGAGATCAATGAAAGCCATAATTTGGAAGTCTTCTTCTTGAAAAACGAAATTTCTCAAAGTTTACGAAACAAAATTATCTAGTTTTCGTTTTCTCTGAAATAATTATACTGAATTGTTTAATTTTTAATAAACCAATAAAGGTAAATTCATCAATCTTAGGTCTATACGAAGCCTTATCGCTGCCATTTCATTAAACTGTTATTACCATTCATTTATATCGCTTGTTTGAATCTTCCCATTGATGTTAAGGATTGTAAACCACTGTCCACCTCGACTAATGGTGCTCGTAACTTCAAAGCAGTATCACTGAAATCCACACAGCGTGCAAGTACGCCAAATGAGACTGATCAACTGCATTCCAAAACATCAGTGGGAAGATTCAACCTACCAATGCAGATTAATTAATCTTTACCCCATTGCACAGGTGAATGGACTCAATAGTTAAATGGATAATGTGATAGCTGCCTTAAAGTTGTCCATAATAATATTTTAGGTCTTGCTGAAATTATTGATAACAGTATTTTGTATAATGAATTATTTTAACCAGTTATCTGTTGAAGCAAACTTTAGTAAATATCACTTATTTCCAAGGATAGTCATGATCATTACTAAATTTCATTTACATCTACCTTTAGTTTTCACCATTTCAAAACGGATGGGAACAAATGCCTTTGAATATATGCTCAGATCAAACTTCATCTATTATAAGAGGAAACCAAGTATTTTCAAGCTCACCTCATTCAAGCATGAATGCAATGAATATGCAAAATTTCAACTCTCCCAATCATATAGAATTTAATAATCGACCTCCTAGTGATATATCTATTCAGCCATCGTCTGTTTTAATAAATAACTCAGACCGGACTGCATTGGCTTATTTAAACCCAGATAGTGGAACAGTAGAAGCAATTCAAAACGTTCAAGATTATCATGACTGTGCAGAATTTGTGCATCCAGCGTTTCTTAATAGTAATTCTGCTTTTAATTACGATGCAGAACAAAATCTAAAACATTTAGATCGTCCTACACCTACTCACCGACGACTTGTCACTGTCGGTAGAACGTTAACTGAAAAGAGTAACAGAACTAGGTCACCACATTCTGGAGCTGCTTCAAATGTTTCAACCATTAGGTCAAATGGACATGGAACTACTAATAGCTTGGAAAGGAGCCTTTCAACTTTTCAGCGATCTCATCAAGTAAACATGCTAAGCGATTACAGACAAGTTGATAGCAGCCTAATGCTACCTAACGGAGGCTTAGGACCAAACATAACGAGTCAAAGTCCTCACCAAAATGGGCTATCGTTTAATTCAAACACAAGAATACTTCAAAGCTCCTCAGGGAACTGGATTAGAAATGGAATGACTACAAGTCTTTATGGAGGTCATACCCCGTCGCGGAAACATTGTGTGGATCCTCATGAAAGTAGTAGGTTTACCTTTTAGTATAACAGTAGAATACTGATAAGTTGTACCCCTTCAGAAAGTCCTTGGCAGTTTAGACGATTTGCGTACACTATAACACAAGGTAAATTGTTGTCGATGGCATAGTGTAAGACAAACTTCTTACAATATGGCCACGAAGAATTGCATACTTTAGAAGATTAAATCTGAATTTCTGACTAACTAGATACATCTTTGAGTTTCAATACTGACTCATATCACCTTATCAATATCAAAAATAATAAAGAAGAAGTAGACAGTATCTTACTTCTAGAAAAATATATTTAGTCAATATCCTAGCTATATAAAACCCCTCAAAGTTATTATTTTATCAATGAGTACATCAGGTTCGTTATAAAATGTGTTACATGGTAAATAAAAGAAGTATCACAATTATTTAAGAAGAGCTAGTCAAAATTATATATTTCGATATACTAGTTTAATTTTACGTAGCACAAAACAGATATTTCATAGATGATTTTGAGACATTATAGTGACTTTTAGGTAAAACAAAATTTCACGATTGCTCAGACTTTGTTTACTATTTAAAAGTATACAAATAGCTTTCCTTACTCACCATCTAGCATTTAAATATACCATTATGGGAATACCACAGGTTAGGATTATATCTGAGTAGGGAATAATCAAGATTTATACAGGTTGTAACAATTTATTTGTATTGCTTGGTTGCATCTTCCCTTCGATTAATTTCATTTCTAATTATAGTCTCGTTTGAATTATGTATATCCCATACGGACTACCTCAATATTCCTATAAGTTACAAGAATTATTAGCAGGGGTGGATGGTGACTAGATGAAGAATCCAGGATGTGCATTTCGTCCCATTTGGGACTTGTCAGCTGGATTTATCTGAATCCCAGATTTGATGTTCACATCGGTGCTCAAACACAGTGCGGTGCATACATAAACACCATCTCGATATCCATTTGTCTACTAAGTGCAGATAGCAATTAGCTCGTGCATCCAGCTGATGAGTTCCGAATAGGACGAAGCATGCATTATGGAATTCGCTTCTAGCCATCAATTTTTTTCTGCTAATAGGTTGTAACAAGTTATACTTGTAAAGTAACGTTCAAATAACGAGAAACAAAATAGATATTATGAAGAAACTGGTGTTTAATTAAATCAATCAGATTTTAAGCACAATTCGTTTAAAAATATCCATATTTTTCACTAAACGTTCGAATAATTTTAGATGATTTTGCAGCATCAGGACAACAAATAGCAAGAAATTCATACAATTCCTTTGGACAACAATCTGTATCTCAACGCACGAACAGTTTTGAATTGCCCAATAGTCACATTTTTAACAATCGACAGCATGTACAGTCAAATATGGTTAGTACTTTTTAATCAAACAATTCAATTTTTCCCATATAACTAAGATAATCACACAAAGCATTATAAATTATGAGACTAGTTGCCTTTCAGAATGACATTTTTCGAAAGCAAAGTTATTCTAGTTTCTGAGTAGCAACAGTAAAACATAGTAACAAAATTTAAGCCCAAAGCATATACTATTTTTTTAAATAGTTAAAAATCATTTACGAAAAAAAAGGTTGGCTAAATAAATAAGTATCAATTATCAATCTTTTGTGTATATAAAAGAAATGGAATTTTGAAATCACGAACCGATCTCAGCTAGATCATCCTTATAAATTGGGAGTACTATACAACCGTTTAGTCCTAGTATGAAACTCCCCAACAGTGCACATCCAAATGCTCACTAGTCAGAATTAATGACCAGTGGAGTTCAATCTGAAGATAGTTATCGGCTGCAGGCAGTGGATGAAGGTTGCTCAACATCATGGATTGGTTGAAGTAAGACTCTAACACCACTAGATGCCGGCTCAGTGGTCTCCAAGTTTGAAGTTCGCATTCATAACTGAAAGTCCTGGGTTTAGTTTTCGCGTGGACAGGTCTTGGACATTCATAGCTGAGGAGTCCCATACTAGGATGAAACGGTCGACCGATGCTTCCGGTTTCTAAAAGTGGTCTAGCTAAGATGAGTTCGTGATTTCAACCACTAAAATAATCTCCACATATCCCCTTCATTAATAAACGAACTTGTGAGCTGTCTTTTTGTTTAGAAGAATGCATTACAATAAGTTCAGTAATCATCAATTGCACAATTTAAAAGAAGTGTGGAAAACCACAGTCAGTCGAAACATAAATCCAATGAAAATATCGCTCTGTATTAAAAGTCAACGAAGATTAATATGGCAAAGCACAATTAAAAACACTATTTTATTTTATTTACGAATTATTTTCCTCTCCTCATTATACCATAAAACTGTGTTGTATTTAGTCGATGAAGTAGTAGCATGGTTAACTATAAATTTCCCCACTCTATTGACTCGGGAAATCTGTTGATAAGAATGTATACAGAACCACATATTTAAACCAATATTTATTTTAAGCTTTATGTTAGAGCGTAACAATACAATTTTTTGTCTTGTTGCCATGTCTTTACAGAGTTCAGAAGTCTCATCACCATGCTATTATCAGGAATCACCAGCAAGGTATTTGACCCAGTTAGAAAAAAGCTGGCCACAACAAAACCAAAATAACAATGACTGTAGAAATATAAACATGGATTTCCCATCAAATGGATCGACTATACCACCGCCGAATGATTTTCAAACTACCGGTTCTCATATTCCCTACATACAAGTTAGTAGTTCCACTCCTACTGTCAGTAGACCATATTATCACATTACAGATGAAAACGAGAATACTATCGTTCAAGAGAGTGCTTGTCCAGATCATTTGCAAATAATTAACCCGCAACATTTGGGTTTACCTAGAAATATTTCAAATGAAATGATAACACACCAAAATCAAAGCAACTATTCTTCGTATGGTTGTGTTTTATGATAATTGGTATACAATTATGTTGCTTTCGTGCATAAATGTATAGTAAAATATCTCTGAATATGAAGTGAAATTACGCCGACTTTAGCGCTAAATAGACTCTCTTAAAAAACTGTAAATTTAGCAACATTTAATCGTTCATAAAAAATGTACAAAGAAACAACCAAAGATCTTTTGTCAACAGTGATATTAACACAGAATCTTATGTTATGCACATGCTTTGATTTTATATTTTTAAATATGTATCATTTCCCTAATTTCTTCACTGTAAATCATGTTACCTACCAGTACTTTAAAGAAAAAAACATCCTGAATTACTTTAGTATTCTGACTTATTTTCTTGTAAAATATGACCAAACTAAGGAACCTTGACTGATCAGTTTTAGAAACATTTCGTATTATATTGCTTATCAATATTTTAAATTTACACATTTCAATATATATATATATATATATATATATATATATATATATATATATATATATATATATATATATACACGAAATTCCTTATTCCACAGCCAATTTTTAGGCATGATTGGTAATCTATGGATTGGTAAAACTGACTAAATGTATGAATGGTGTAAAATATACAATCACTGGTGAAATGCCTTCAAACAGTATGAAATAGAGTCCAGAACACAGATACATCGAAAGCTTCCTACAAAACTATCATAACATTCTTGTTTCAAAATGATAGACCGAATGTTATGAAAAGTACATTGAACATTTTATCCATTGTATCTAGGTTTGGTATTTCATAAAACTTTCATGCTTGATATTACTTGGTGGTAACTATCACTACATACTACTACAGTGCAATAAAATACTATACATTCTATTTATCTTTTCGTAGAAATCAGAATTTAATTAAGTATAGTTGGTGTGTGCAATGTCATCTTGTAAGGCTGTTGTATCATACTCATGTATGAAACTGATTTTTCATTTCTCGGCTGCCACTGAAGGCGGTTGCGATTTCTGATGAAATGAATGGATGGACAAGTATTAAAGATTCGGTTTTTTTTCTTAGGGAAAATGAACACAATACTAAAGTAAGCCAAAAATAAAATGAAGACTTACATATGTAGTTTTTTGAAATTTTTGGCAAGACTAATGATGAGCGAAATTCGGGCAGTAGATTGATGTGAAAATAAAATATAATCCAGGCTTTGATACACTTGTTTCCTGCAATATGGTTCATACCCTATGGTTCTGAAGTTTTCAGAAAGACTGAAGTCAAGCGTAAATGGGTTTATTTATCAGTTTTCTGTTTCAGTTTAGTAATAAATAATAATCTGCTCTATATCTACTTTGACTGATGTGAAGTAAATAATAATTTTTTATCTTCAGTTTACATAATAATCGTTATATATATATATATATATATATAATCATAAATATAATTAAAAGACTTCCAAACTTGAACAGCACCTTCTTAGCCATACATTGGTTCTTTTCTCTGTCACTTGCACTTGAATGAGTTGTAGACAAGAAAAAGGTGAGAAATCTTGATTACTAATATGTATCATAGTGATAAAACAGGAATGGAATGATTAATATGGCATTCGTCTTCACCGATGCACAGTTATATTCCTTATTTCTTGTTGCATTCCCTAGGAATGGCTTTGCAAAATGTATGTTTGTTGGTATTCTGATTGATAGAATGTACATTTTTTCATACATTTTACCAATCAGTCATTAATACCAAATACATTTTTCAATACTTAATACATATCTCATATCATATTATCAAGCACTTCTTTAGGATTTTACAAGAGCGTTGTCATGAATATTCATGATATCTTCAGTTGTCTTTCTGTTGTCTGTGATAAGAAAACGCATCTGAAACTCTGTTACTCTACATATATGTACGTATCAATAAAGTTTTCTGATCTCTGTCATTCTGAATGCCCTATACTTTTAGAACACACTGTCCTGAATATTTTAACCGATTGTGATAAGATACAGGAGACGATGCAACACATGATGAATTATTTGTATATGTTTTATGTTTGAATATATATGTGTCATACTTACGTACATACATACATACGATTCTTAAATGCTCATTTTGAATCATACAAACTTATTATTTACGAATAATACGTACCTTGGGCTTCAATTGGACATTTACAATTGAGAACGAAAATACAAAAGTATACAAACGCTAAATAAATGGACGTCTGTTATAACAGTTCGTATTAATCAAATAAAATCTAACAGTACATCGAGAACCAACGACTGATGGAATTTTGAAACATATTTTCAAGTAAAAATGGTGCTTATAAACGACCTGGAAATGTACAGTTGTTGAAATTGAGAAAATAGGTTCATCGGTGGTTGGCAGAGTTACAACATGTATACATCGAAAAATATATCCAAAGTTAATATAAATATTACAAAAGCTCCTGCAAAACATCTGCTATAGTTCTTAAGAGGCAATCTAATATGCCTGATAAGTAAATATTTCTAGTGGACCACTGTAGATAAACAGAGTCCTTAAATCATTCAACAACACTCTGTTGAAGAAGTTTTCTGATATTGAGAGTAGCGGTATACCTCTGTACTTCTCACTATTACAAAGATCTAATTTCTTTCGTATCTTCACGAAGCATCCTTCTTTAAAGTCTGTCGGTATTTGTTCTTCCTCACAAATCTTTCTGAATAGGGCATGGAACAGATTTCCGGTTACTTTTCGTCCACTATCAATGCCTCAGCTGGTATGTTGCCAGGCTCCACTACTTTGCTGCTGAACATGATGATTTCCTAAACTGTTGGTAAGTCAAAATGGATTGAGAGATCTGTAATTATCACTTCAACGTTGAGGAGGTTGAGTGGGACTGATTCATTTAACAGTGCATTAAATGGCTCTAGCCACCTGTTTCGCTGTTCTTAAAAATAAGCGATTGCTTTGTTCTTCTTATTCATCACTGATCATTCTGGTTCACTATATTTTCCAGCAAGCTTCTTAACTGTACCAAATAGTTGTCTCATATTTCTCTCACTTGAAGCTGTTTCTGCTGTCGTAGGTAGAACTTCCACCTATTTTCACGTATCGGCCCTAATGCCCCTCTTCACTTGCTTGTTTCCTTTCATGCTTTCGGCCTGTGACTTTGCTTTCGCTGCACTTGTATAGCTGAGGGTGTCTTTGTCTCTCTATTTTTTCTTTGTTCAGTATTTACCAGATTATTTGAAGAGATCCAATACTTCTGATGGTGCTTCTTGTGACCCACAGCCTCATGACCTGCGTAGTTATCGCTTCTTTGATCCCTTTCCAGTTGTTCCCTATGGTAGTCTTTTCTTCACTGGGTATATCGTGAAAGACCAGGGACCTTTTTCTGAATGCTATCTAGAATTCATCAAGTTTGCTAGTATCGTGAAGAAAAACTTCATTAGACTTTTGTTAGGCCATCCTCCACTTATCCAGTGTTTATTTAATTTCAGTCTCATCTTCGATACCACCAAGTGATTAGCCGAAGCTACATCAGCACCTCTCCTCGTGCTTACATCCTACGGGGTTCTCCTGATACTTTTACTGATATACATGTGATATACATGGTTCTATAGAGTTTGATCCGGCGTGTATCTGTAGGAATATGGTGTCACCCACAGCCATTTTGCTGAAGGCACACAGATTTGTGAATCTTTCACCGTTTTCGTTCCTTCCTCGCAGTCCATGTCGTCTAACAACATCTTCGTACCCTATGTCTTTCACTTTGGCGTTGCCTTTTAGGCGTCACATCAGAATAGTTAAATCATTTACTGAACATTTTTCGACTGTTGACCATGGCCCTTAATAAAAATTGATCCGTATCACCTTCACTTTTATCGTTAGCGGGCACATGGCACTTGATTTTCTTCACTGTAATCTCCTCTTTGTCTTCAAAGATACTTTGATGATTGTGGGTCCATGAGACTTCCATCTTATGGGTGCTTTTTGTGCTTTTTGGTAGCGTCATTAGAATTCCCTGTGTGTGGCGTTTTCTTCTTCATGACCGGATTACAACAGCATCGTTCCTGAAGCTAGTCTTTTCGTCCACCTTGCATCCGACGGGTTTCCCTTATTATAAGTGCGACTAGTTAGTTTTCTACGTGCTGCGTTTTCTAACCCCTAACCTAAATCTCCTCGTTTATCTGCGTTTGGGGCCGTTAATGACCCTAGAAGGACTACCATCTGGGTTATTTAAAACAATGCTGGATACGGGAAAAAGGTAAATGAAAATATTTTCGAACATAAGGGAGTTTGATTTTCATATGGCCGAGGCTTTAGAAAACCATAGCATACGCCATTGAACACTTTTGTATTTGACCGACAAACTGGCTACCTGGCTCAATAATTTCAACTGTTTTCATTAACCAATCCTGAAGTTAAGCATTCATTTCATTTTGCAGAGAATAAATAAGTTGAGTGGAACCTTTTTCTAATTCGCCTAATAATCTCACAGTCGCCAGTTAATGTTTGATCGAAGAAAAATACTATCCCAAAATAATATACTTTTCCTTTACGTGTGAGATAAACTTAGGTTGTCCTAAGTTATGGTACTTTAATTATCGATTAGGATTTGTACCACTCTCATTAATAGTCTCAAGTCTTCAGACTTTTTCTTCATTAGGATTCACTATTTCTCTCAAAGTGCGAAAACATTTTCATAACGCGAATTCAAAACTAAACGAAATGTCGTTTAAATATCCAGCTATGTTTGGCTAGATGTTAACAGTAAAAATAATGAAGAAAGTAGGGGAAGCACAGTGACATGATACACATGCAATATTTCGTCTGTGCCTACCTTTTTAGTCAATATTGTTTTTGTAAAGTCACTAGTGAACTTCTTAACGTAACTGCCTAACCCTGCTTGGTAGGAAGCGAAACCAGTTAAAGGCTACAAACACAAATCAAAGATCAAAGTAAATTTCGTGGATTATTTATACCTTGCTAGTATGTAAGAAGCCGTAAGAGAACAACAAGTTTTGCCCCAAACTTGAAGCACACGAACTAGACAGAA